AAGCTATAGTGAATAGTATATGTCCATTTATTAGAATAGTATATGTCCATTTCTTCCCTCCTAACCTTAGTGCTATTGTTATTGTACATTTTACTTTTACAGACGTTATAAACCCCATAATACCTTGGCATTAGTTTTGTTTAAACAATCAATTATCTTTTAAAGAGATTTAAATAATAAAAAAATATATATTTATCTATATAGTTACCATTTCGGGTACTCTTCATCATGTTCTGTAGATCCATAGTTCCATCTGGTATCATTTTTCTTCTGCTAAAGGACTTCCTTTATTATTATTTGTAGCGCTCGTCTGCTGGTGATGAACTCTTTAGCGTTTGTGTCTGAAAACATCTTTATTTCATCTTCATTTTTGAAAGATATTTTTGCTAGATTTAGAATTCTAGGCTAAAAGTTTTTTTTCTTTCTTTTTTCATCTTTGCTTTTAAAGATGTTTCTGCACTGTCTTGCTTGCATTTGTTTCCAGTGAGAAATCTGTCATCCATACCTTTCTTATTCTGTGTGTAATCTGCCTTTTTCCTCTGGCTGCTTTTAAGCTTTTATCTTCATCACTGGTTTTGAACAAATTGATTGTGCCATGTCTTGATGTAGTTTTCTTCATGTTTCTTGTGCTCAGGGTTGTTGAGCTTCTTGAATCCAGGGGTTTGTAGTTTGAATCAAATTTGAAACATTTTCAGCCATTATGTCTCCAAAAATTTTTTCTCTCTCTTCTTGCTCCCCAATTTTGGAAACTCCAATTACGCATATATTACACCACTTTGTTATCCCATAGTTGATGCTCTTTAAATTTTTTTGTTTTTTTGTTAAATTTCTTTGTTTCATTTTGGGTAATTTCTACTGCTGTATTTCAAGGTCACTAGTCTTTTTTTCTGTAATGCCTAATCTGCCATTAATCTCATCCAATGTATTTTTCATTTCAGACATGGTAGTTTTCACCTGCAGAAGATCTGTTTGGGGCTGTTTTGTGTCTTCCATGTCTCCACTTAATTTTTTAAACATATGAAATACAGTTATAATAACTTTTAATGATCTTGTCTGATAATTCTAATATCTGGGTCAGTTCTGGGTCACATTTGATTGATTAATTATTCTCTTCATTATGGGTCATGTTTTCCTACTTCTTTGTATACTTGGTAATTTTACCTTTTGGGGTGCTGGATGTTTTTGTATTCCTAAAAATATTCTTGAGCTTTGTTCTGGGATGCAGTTAATTTACTTGGAAACGGTTTGACCCTTTTGAATCTTGCTTTTATGACTTGTTAGGCAGATGTGAAACACTGCTTAGTCTACAGCTAATTATTTTCCACTTCTGAGGTGAGTATGTCAAGCACTTCCTAGTCTACAGCTAATTATTTCCCACTTCCTGAGTATGCTACCCAGTGCCCTATGAATTGTGAGTTTTTCCGCTCTGGTTATTGGGAACAGTCACTGTTCCCAGTCCTGGGTGAGTGTCATCACTGTTCCCTCTAATCCTTTTGGATGGTTCTTTCCCTGGCCTCGGCAGGTTTCTTGTATGTGTGCAGTGATCAGTGCTCTATTGAAGACTCAAGGTGGACCCTCTGAAGATCTCCAGGGTTCTCTCTCTGTGCAGCTTTCTCCTCTCTGGTACTCTGCCCCGCAGAATCCAGCCACCTTGTTCTCCCCAGACTCTCAGCTCTGTCTCCTCAACTCAGGGAGTCATGCTCTGCCTGCGTTCCCCGCCCTTTGCTGTGGCTTGAAAACTCTCTCAAGGGAAAAACTGGAGCAATTATAGGGTGTACCTTGTTTGTTTCCCATCTCTCAGAGACCCTTTTCTCTGTTGCCTTATTCCAACATCTTGAAAACTGTTTTTTCATGTGTTTTGTCTGTTACTTGTGGTTGTTTTGGGTGGGAAAGTTAAATCTAGTCTGTTACTCCATCTTCGCCTGAATAGAAATCCAAGATGTTATCATGTGTTTTTATTTTAAACTTTTTATTTTTGAGATCATTGTAGATTCACATACAGTTGTAAGAAACAATACAGGGAGATCCTGTATACCCTTTTCCTAGTTTCCCCCAATGCTAACATTGTATTGTATATCACAACCAGGATATTGACATTATAGTCAAGATACAGAACAATTCTATCACCACAAGGATCCTTTATGTTGCTGTTTTATACCCACACCCACTTCCCTCCTGCCCCCACCCCATCCTTAATCCCAGGAAACAAATAATCTGTTCTCCATTTCTATAATTCTGTCATTTCAATAATGTTATATAAATGGAATCATACAGTATGTAACCTTTTGGGGTTGGCTTTTTTCACTCAGCATAATTCTCTGGAGATTTATCTGAGTTATTGTGTGTATTAATAGGTTGTTCCTTTTTATTGTTGAGTAGTATTCTGTGATGTGGATATACCAGTTTGTTTAAGCATTCGCCCATTAAAGGGCATCGGGATTGTTTCCAGTTTTTGACTATTACAGATGAAGCTTCTATGGACATTCAGCTACAGGTTTTTGTGTAAACGTTAAATTTTCATTTCTCTGTAATAAATACCTGGGAGTCGATGTGTAGATCCCACTTCACATCCACTGTGATAGCAGTAATCAAAAAGTCAGATAATAACAAGTGTTGGTGAGGATGTAGAGAAATCAGAACCCTTATACACCGCTGATGGGAATGTAAAATGGTACAGCTGCTTGGGAAAACAGCCCGGCAGTTCTTCAAAAGGTTAAACATAGAGTTACCATATGTCCCGGGAATTCTACTGCTGGTTATACCCTAGAGAAATGAAAATATATGTCCACACAAAAACTTGTACGTGAGTGTTCACAGCAACATTATAATAGCAAAAGGTGGAAACACACAAATGTCCATCAACTGAGGAATGGATAAATAACATATGGTATATCTATATAATGGAATATTATTTGGCAATAAAAAGGAATAATATACTGATACATACTACAACATAGATGAACCTTGAAAACATTATGTTAAGTGAAAGAAGGTAGTCACAAAAGACTACATATTGTATGATTCTATTTATATGAAATGTCCAGAATAGTCAAATCTATAGAGACAGACTGGGGGCTTGAGGGAAATGGGAAATGACTACTAAATGGGTCTTCTTTTTTTTTTTTTTTTTTTTTTATTGATGTTTTAATGGTTTCTAACATTGTGAAATTTTGGGTTGTACATTTTTGTTTGTCCATCACCATATATATGACTCCCTTCACCCCTTGTGCCCACCCCACACCCCCCACCCCCACTGCCCCTGGTAACCACAGTCCAGTTTTCTCTGTCCATGTGTTGGTTTATATTCCACATATGAGTGAGATCATACAGTGTTTGTCTTTCTCTTTCTGGCTTATTTCACTTAACATAATACGCTCCAGGCCCATCCATGTTGTTGCAAATGGGACGATTTTGTCTTTTTTTATGGCTGAGTAGTATTCCATTGTATATATATACCACATTTTCTTAATCCAGTCGTCTGTCGAGGGACACTTAGGTTGCTTCCACTTCTTGGCTATGGTGAATAATGCTGCAATGAACATAGGGGTGCATAAGCCTCTTTGGATTGTTGATTTCAGGTGCGTTGGATAGATTCCCAGTAGTGGGATGGCTGGATCATAGGGCATCTCTATTTTTAATTCTTTGAGGAATCTCCATACCGTTTTCCATAGAGGCTGCACCAATTTGCAGTCCCACCAGCTGTGTATGAGGGTTCCTGTTTCTCCACATCCTCTCCAACATTTGTTGTTTTTTGTCTTGGTGATTATAGCCATTCTAACAGGCGTGAGGTGGTATCTTAGTGTTGTTTTGATTTGCATTTCCCTGATGATTAGTGATGTTGAGCATCTTTTCATGTGCCTATTGGCCATCTGTGTATCTTCCTTGGAGAAGTGTCTGTTCATTTCCTCTGCCCCTAAATGGGTCTTCTTTTTGAGGTGATAAAATATTTTAAAATTGATTGTGATCAAGTGTTATACAACTCTATTAATATACTAAAAACCATGGAGTTGTACATTTTAAGTGGGTGAATTGTATGTATGTGAGTGATATCTCAATAAGCTATTATTAAAAAATAAAAGTACAGGCCTCTTTATCCGTTAGACATATCTGTGTGGGTCTATTTCTGACTTTTCTGTTCTATTCCAGTGATCTGTGTGTCTATCCCTCCATCAGTACTACACAGTCTTGGTTATTGTAGCTATTTAAAAAAGTCTGGAAATTGAATAGACTTAATTTTCCCACTTTATTCTTTCTTTTTTTAAATCATTTTTAGCTATTCTAGTTCATTATTTTGTATAAATTTTAGAATAATCTTGTCTGTATCTACAAAAAATTTTGTTGAGATTTTTGTTGGAATTATATTAAACCTGTATATCAGTTGGGGAGAATTAACATGTTTACTATCATGCCAATCCATGAACACAGAATACCTCTCCATTTATTTAGATCTTCTTTGATTCTTTCATCAGTGTTTTGTAGTTTTCAACGTCCAAGTCCTCTGCATGTTTTGTTAAATTTACACCTAAGTATTTCATTTTTTTGAGTGATTATAAATGCTATTATATTTTTAAATTTTGGTGTCTACATGTTCATTGCTAATATATAGAAATACAATTGATTGTATCAGGTGTTTTTTTGTTTTCATTTTAAACTTAATTTTCTAATTTATCTATTAACAGCAAAATATTTAAAATAACATGATTCGAAAGTTATTCTTAAACAATAAGGGTATTTCCTGCAAGTGGAAAAATCTGAACATCAATTAAGCTTTAATATCTAAGAATATTAGAATTAATAGACCGTTGAATCACATGTACATTCTCATTTTATGTATTTTCTTGGGTCTGTACCTTGCATGTATAGTAAACGTTCTTAGACTCTTCCTTCATCATAAATATGACATTTTCTCTTTTCGGATTAGGAAGTAGGCTTAACATGAATGCTGAAAGTCACTATTTTGTTGACAACCTTTTATATTTCTGTGACTGAATTTTTTTTAGACTGGTGTCATTCAGTATTTCTACATTGAAGATTGGCAGTTCGTTAATGATTATCGACATCCTGTCAGTGTGAAGAAGATTTTTCCTGACCCAAATGGGACCAGATTAGTTTTCATTGATGAAAAAAGTGATGGATTTGTCTACTGTCCAGTAAGTCTAGAAAAGTTTGTAAATGCTTCTTTTTAAAAAATGCAACCTATGAAGAAAAATCTTTTTAAAATATGTTTCGTATATAAAATCCTCTTAAACAGTGCCAAGGATTATAGTACTTTGTTATCATGTTTGTGATCCATTTTCATGACTATTTATGTCAAGAAAACTTTTCCCATTATTCTGCAATTTTTTATACTGTCAGCCCCACAGAGGTTTTTTAATGGAAAAAACAGGTATTATATGCTGTACCACTTTTAACCTTATTTACTGCACAGTATTACAGGGTATCTTCATGTACATGACTTTTGTCTCCAGATATGCAGTAAGCTTCAGAGGGAAGGGACTACACCCGTCCTTTCTGCCCACCTCGGTTGATAAAGATCCTGAACACAAAAAACGGGTATTTTTATATTAGGTGATTAAAAACAGATGGACCCGTTTTTAGAATCAGTTACTCTTACATTGAAACATCTTTAACTTTTTTAAAAATAGATTTAGAAAAAGGAATTGTGGTGTTTTTACGTCATTTATTATACTTGGGTTTTTCATTTATTTTGGATATCCAGTTAATGATTTGGTATGTTCTTGGTCACAGCTCACATAGCCTACAGCTGCTCTTGGACCCATTCTTACTAACTGCTCCCCGGTGTCTGTGCTTAACCATGAGCAAAGACAATTCAATGAGGACAGCTTTCCCCTCACCGTACACTTCCCTAGATACTAAGACTTCCTTCCGTTTCTCTCCCTCTCTCTCTTCTTCCTCTTGTCCTTTCATTTCTTTCTCTTCCTTTCATTTTTTTCTTTTCTTTCTTTCTTTGACAAATATAAAAAGTTTCCACAAGAGTGCCTCGATTATTTACGCAAAATTCTTAATGTGCTAGTTCTTAACCCATTCCTCTCCCAATCACAAAACAAAAGAAGAAAAATTACATAAGTATAAAGATAACCTTGAGTTCCCTCTACTTAATAAGGAAACTCAGTCTTGTACGGATTTGCTTTCTGTAACAGGGTATAAGAAGCAGAGCCGCCTTGCTTCCCCTGTGTGGGTTCACTGCGGGTGGAAACTGCTGCTTAGACAGGATACACAAGAGGGTCGGAGGGTAAATCAGGGGTCTGACAGGCGTTCAAGTCAGAACTGGGGTCTGACTGCTAGGGAAAGGGCAGAGAGTAAGACCTGCCCTGAACCAGTTGATGCATTTTTCCTTCTCCTTTTAAGGTTTTCCTTTCCTTGATAATTTCTGTTCAAGAGGCTAGTCTGACCTCCCTCCTGGGGTTGGGGCAAGGTTACAGTGCATTGATTTTTCCGTACACGTGATCAGGTACATGATAAGTGTTCAGCGGCTATTAGTTAAAGCCCTGGCCTCTTTACCTCTTTACTACCCTAAACCCCTCAAGTTCCAGGATTAACTCACTTTTTGCTGCTTATCTCCACACCCTTTTCCAACTCTAACCTGCAGCTCACTTAAGTTTTAAGAAGAAAAACCCTGGTAAAATAAAATCCACACAGAAGAATAACTCTATGAGAGCACAGGCTCTCCCCAACCTAAGATGTGGGTGGGTGTTAGCTTTTATCCAAATTAAGATCTCATCTGTAGGTTAGAATTTTAGGTGGTTGGGTTGGATTTCCGAGGGAAGTGTGGTGCCCATAGGAGTAAATTCCTCTTTTAAGTAATACCCAGTGTTTTCCGTGAGTGAGGCCAGCTTGGCCGGGAAGGGAAAGGAGGGCTTGTGGTGCAGAGCCTTCCCTGCAGCCTTGGACACAAGAGGAGGCTGCGCTAAGGCCCTTGGACTCTTGACCAGAGTGCTGTGCATTTATTTGATTGGAGAGCCCACCCTGTCTTAGTGTGCTACTATTGCAGCTTCATTTACCACTCAACTTCGAAAAATGTGAGAGAAACTTTGCTTCTGTGATGTACACGTATGAAAATATGTAACTATTCAGACTACAACGATTCCTCTTTAAAATTCTTATGTTTACTTACAATTTCCCTTCATATATATCTTTATTCAACCTATTTTTCCTCACTGTGTGAATGGTAAGGAAGTGACTCATGTTGTACATTAGAGTTGGGAGAGCTGACTTTTTTCTTATGTTTGCCCAAATAAAACAACCTCGTACCCCGTCACTCCCTATATGCCCATAAAGGATGACTTGTGTTATGTTATAGGAAGTCCGTAAGCATGTTGCCCTTGAGAGAGGCAGTAGAGTGTAGGAGTTAAGTGCGTGGACTTTAAAGACAGACAGACAGACCTGGATTTAAGGTTTGTCACAATAACAGCTAATATTTCTGTGCTGAGTACTCTCTGCGTATATCAGGAATCTCTTTTAATCCTCACGGCAGCCGCAGAGGTCAATACTCATATTATTGCCATTTTACAGGTGAAGAAACTAAGGGATAGAAAAGATAACTTGTCCAGGGTCACACAGCCAGCAAATGGTATCTGTGGTATGAGCCCAGGGGTCTTCCTCCAGAGCTCTCACGTGTATTGGTTCCCAGGTTCCCCATCTATAAAATGAATACAGCTCTAGTACCTACTTTGTAGATTGTTGTATAAAAGTTAAATGGGATGATGCACACCAGCTTTTAGTAGAGTGTTTGCCACATAATAAGCACTCAACAAATGGTTACGTTTTAAAAAATATTTTACCACCAGTCTACTGGCACTGGTGTGCTCATCCTTACAAACCAAAAGTCAGTATAACATAGAGGTTAGAAGCATAGACTGTGGAGCCTGACTGCCTGGCTTAAATCCTGGCTCTTCAACTTATTAGCTGTGTGACTTTGGGTAAATTTACCTGTGCCTCAGTTTCTCCATCTGCAAATGGGCGTGATAATAATCCCTGTCTTGTAGAGTGTGAGGTTAGAATTAAATGAGGTTACATATATAAGTAATTAGTACAATACCTGGCAAGCAACACTATCCAATAGAAATATAATTTGAACCACATATATAATTTAATTTTTGTTGTTGTTGTTTTTTTGTGAGGAAGATCAACCCTGAGCTAACATCTGTTGCCAATCCTCCTCTTTTTGCTGAGGAAGATTGGCCCTGGGCTGACATCTGTGCCCATCTTCCTCTACTTTATATGGGAAGCCACCACAGTATGGCTTGACAAGTGGTGCGTCGGTGCGCGCCCGGGATCCGAACCCCAGGCCACCACAGTGGAGCGCGCGCACTTAACTGCTACACCACTAGGCCAGCCCCTAATTAAAAATTTTTATTAGCTATGTTTTTTTAAAAAAGGTGAAAAAAAAAGGTGAAATTAATTATAATAATGGATTTAATTTAACCCAATATTATTTCAATATGTAATCAGTAATCAATATAAAAAATTATTAATGAAATGTTTTACTAACATCTTTTTTTGATGCTCTTTGAGATCCAGTGTGTAGTTTACACTTACACACATCTCAATTCAGACTAGATGCGTTTCAATGCTCAGTAGCCACGCGTGGATATTAAATAGCTACTGTATTGGACAGCACAGCTCTATAGTATTAGTTATGATTTGCAGAAATTTTATATTTCATTCTCATTGTGAGAGGAAGATAGATTAGGGAGGAGTCAGGTATTTCTCAGCTCCACGTGCAGGATGTATATAAGCCTGCCTGCCTGAGTTATGGAATATGTGGATTGGTTTTTTTAATAGGCTGTATTACTGTAACAGTACATTTTATGTTTGTTGGAATGCATTGTAGAGAAGTTTTTCAAATAAAACATGCATAGTGGAATTTATTTAAATTTCAAATCATATGTGAATTAATTTCTCTTTCTTCTCTAGCTGGAACATTTCTGTTTCCAATATTATGGAAAATCTTCTAGACAGAGTGTCCTTGTAGTTTAAACTTCCGTCATCTTGAGCAGCTTCAGCTTTCTTTCCTTAACCTGAAGCTTTGTGTCCAGACTTGTAGTTTTTCCTGCAAATTCACTAAATTTTAGGTAAAACCCTTGATTTGCCACGTAACTACAGTTTCTTTTTCAAGCCAGACCTCGTATGGGAATGGGAAAAGAAACTTTCTTTCTTATCATGGTTGGAGTGTTGCTGGCTTGACTGTGGGTTGGTAAGGTACGCCAGCTAAGGCTGCAAACAGGCTTCTACCACGGCAACTGATAATAATTTATGTGCAGACTCGAGGCAAATCTGTGAATCCTATTTTGCAGGTTAATGATGCTACCTATGAGATTCCAGACTTTTCACCCACCATTAAAGGCGTTCTTTGGGAAAACTGGCCAATGGATAAAGGTGTATTTATTGCTTATGATGATGATAAAGTGTACACGTATGTCTTTCACAAGGACACTATACAAGGTACTTAATCACTTTTTTGTACGTTTGTTGACTGATAAATTTCCATTGCAATGAAATTAAAGTATTCCTTTGTGATGTTTGTGCTGAGTGTTAGTTTTCAGCATAAAGATGTCTGTTTTATATAGGATCCAAGGTCATTTTGGCTGGTGGCACCAAAGTTCCCTTCTCTCATAAACCTTTGCTGTTATATAATGGAGAATTGACCTGCCAGACACAGAGTGGAAAAATAAACAACATCTACCTTAGCACCCACAGCTTCCTCAACAGTTTGAAAGATGTGGGGCCTAATGAACTGAGACAAATGCTGACGCAGACTTTAATGCTAAAAAGGTAGGGTTTAAAGCACTTCTCATGGAGCTTCTCATTTGCTTTTCTGATTTTAAAGGTCAAATCCTATTAAGACAGATGGAGATAAATAGTATTTACCTTGTTTGCCTCACAGGATTATTGTGAGGCTCAGATAAGATAATGGGTAGAGAATGTGTATAAATTCTAAAGGAAGTGCTGTTATACTATTGGTGCTTTATTCCAAGAAAAGCCCTTCGGAACAAGAAGGTTTCTAGTCACCCAAATAGTGCAGTTATCGTGAAATTCTAATAAACCTAATTATTTCAATAGTATCTTAATTTCATCGTAATAAAATTTGATTTGGCCTTGTTTGAGATTTCCTTTTCCTCTTTTTTCCTCTTACTTCTTAGGGCTGCTGTGAATTCCTTCGTGGGCTCATTCTTCTGACTCTCTCTTAAATGTTGCTGTCCCTCAGGGTCCCATGAGCTCCCTTCTTCTCCCTCTAATTATTCTTCCTGAGTGAATCTCCTCAACTTACATGACTTCAATACCATCCATATGAGACTGACCCCAAAATGTGTGTCTTCAACTTAAACCTGTCTTTACCACTGCCTACCAGTCATATGTATTTGGGTTTCCATGAGTTCCTCAAACTTGCCCTGTTTAAAACAACTTATCATTTTCCCCAACCCTCTTCTCCCCCATCCTAATCACACATGCATATGCCCCAACACACACTTACACCTATACACACACCCCTGATCCTTTTCTCCTCTTGTATTCCCTCATTGTAACTGAGGCCCCTCTTGGAATAATGTATAATGTAACCACTTCCTGATCTCTCTCTGCCAACAGCCTCATGACAATCTAATCTATTCTCTACATACTTGAAAATGTGGGTCTGATCCTCTCATTCCCCTGCTGAAGATTTTTCAGTGACCTCCCACTGCCCTTAGGAAGAAATCCCTACTGCTCGGGGATCTCAGCATGACATACTAGCCACTTGATGATTTAACACCAGCCTCAACTGTCCCCATCCCTCCACTCCCTCTCTGCTCCGCTGGCTGCTTGAATTAGATATTTTTCATGATTCTTTGCCTTGGCATGTACTGCTGTCTCTTCCTGGAATGCCCTTCCCCTATCTTTGTATGTAGTAACTGCTTCTTCTTCACCATTCGTTGGAGCCCTCTCCTCCTCCAGAAAGCCTTCCCTTAAGCCCCCTGACCACTGGCAGTTTGGTGAGGAAGATTAGCCCTAAGCTGACATCCGTTGCCAATCCTCCTCTCTTTGCTGAGGAAGATTGACCGTGGGCTAATATCCGTGCCCATCTTCCTCTACTTTTTATGGGACGCTGCCACAGTGTGGCTTGACAAGTGGTGTGTCTGTCCGCGCCCAGGATCCGAACCTGCGAACCCCGGGCCGCAGAAGTGGAGCACGTGAGCTTAACTGCTACACCACCAGTCTGGCCCCTGGGCTAGTTTTTTGAGGCCTCTAAGCCTCACTCTCCTCATCTCTAAAGGAGAAATAATAATAATACATAGTAGATATGGTTGTTAGGGTAATCCAGTGAGAGAATTTATGCAAGTACTTAGCACAAAGATTCATGTATCATTAAGCACTCACTTACCTCTATCGTACTGTGTTATAGTCATCTGTTTACTTATCTGTCTCTTCCACTTTCCCCAGTTATGACCACCTAAAGGACAGGGACTGTGTTTGATCTTTGTGTCTTAGTTCCAAGCACAGTTCCTGGCACATAGTAGGGACTCAGTAAATGTGTGTTGGATGGAAAAATGCATGGGTGAATAGATAGATCGATATAATATATTCATTAATGTAGGGGTTCCATAAAAAGTTTAATTGCCATTTACGGTCATGTTTTAAACCAGAGGTCGGCAAACTTTTTCTATTATGGGCCAAATGGTAAATATTTCAGGTTTTAAGTGTCTCTGTTGCAACTACTAAAGTCGGCTGTAGTAGCACGAGAGCCCCCGAGAATGGGTACAAATGGGCTGATGAGTGGCTGTGTTCCACTCAAACTTTATTTTCAAAAACAGGCAGCTGACTGGATTTGACCTGTGGGCCATAGTTTTCTGAACCTGTTTTAAACTTCCAAATTTATCAGAACAGAGTACTAATTTTGTTAGACTTTTGTGAGAAGAAAAATAATTTTCATCTATGTGTAAAGTAAACCAATAAATAAATAAATAAATAGAATTAGTTGTTAATGAGGGAGGGCAGTTACATAGAGTAGATTCAGATTAATAAAAGAAATTCAAGAAAAAACGTCCGTAGCGAAAAGGAAGAAAAGTTTATGTAGTTTTTCATAACTTGGAAATGATGATTACAGATTAAGAAATATTTTGCAAAATTTATCTAGGCCGTAACATTAAATTATATATGATCTGAAAATTGCCTAATAGGGGACAAGTAGAGCTCCCTGATTAAGCTTATGTACTCAAATCCTAGGTTTTCCGATGCTTGGGAAATGTGCAAGATTCTGAAGGATCATGCTGCCTGGAATGAGTTGGCCAGAGCTTGTCTACATCACATGGAAGTGGACTTTGCAATCCGCGTTTATCGGACAATTGGAAATGTTGGCATAGTGATGTCCTTGGAACAAATAAAGGTAAACAGCATCTTATGAGAAGTATTAGATTAGGATTTATTTATTCAAACATTTTAAATTTCTGCAGTTAATCTTACCTAACCCATAAACAAGATAATTGATAAAACAGTACCACTTCCTACTGAGCAAAGCCTTTAAAAAAAATAATAAACTCTTGGGGTCGGCCTGGTGGCATAGTGGTTAAGGTTGGCGCACTCTGCTTCGGCAGCCCAGGGTTCACAGGTTCAGACCCCAGGCACAGACCTACACCGCTCAGCAAGCCATGCTGTGGCAGGCGTCCCACATACAAAATAGAGGGAGATTGACACAGATGTTGGCTCAGAGCCATTCTTCCTCACCAAAAAAACAAAACCTCTTGTATTTCTTCTCATTAAAATGGCTTTTATTTGCAGGGAATAGAGGACTACAGTCTTTTGGCAGGACATCTTGCCATGTTTACTAATGATTTCAACCTGGCCCAGGACCTGTACCTTGCATCCAGCTGTCCTGTTGCTGCCCTGAAGGTATGACAGCAGATAAGGAGGGGAAGAAGAACATGTACAGGAGGATCTCACCTTTTGTATTTCAAGTTAAAATTTCTCGGTACCGGACATCACATGCCTTCTGCCTCCTGGAATTTATACTTCTGCTTTAAGAACCCCTGAGTGCTCATTAACTTCAAAACTTTTTCATTCTGTATTCTGTGGAGCCATCAAAGGCATGGTATTGTAACATTACCAAATAATTTAAAGCCTACGTGTGTCCAAAGAAAACAGAGTATCTAATTTACAAAAATGCATCCAAATAAAAACAGCCACCATTTATTGAGTGCTCACTTGGGCCAGGCACTTTGCTAAGCACTTGACATAGTTTAATTCATTTAACCCTCACAATAATCTTATGAGATAGTACTATTATTTTCTCTGTTTTCCAAATGGGAAAGCAGAGGCACATATATCTTTTATTTATCGTATGAAATTCTCTTATGTATTAAGAGGTGGGCTCATTAACTTCCCAGAGGTGAGCATTGCAGGGGAAGGACTAGAACAGAGTGAAGGGCCTAATTCAGTGCAAGGAAGAAGAGAGCTGTGGCTGTGTGCAATGTGATTAAGAACATGGACTTTACAGTTGGGCATGTCTGAGTTCAAATCCCAGCTCTGTGTCAACTTGGACAAATTATTTTATTTTTCTGTGCTCTAGATCCCATTTCTTTAAAGCAGAGATAGCAATATTTAGCCAATGGGGTTGTTGTATAGATTTAAAAATAAGATTAGATCTTTTGGAGCAGTGCCAGATCAATAGTAATGATACAAGAGCGGTAGGTGTCATTATTCCACCTCAAACCAGCGTTTCCACAGTTCCACAGAGAAAGTTGTTTTGAAAACATATTTGCTATTAGTTTCACAACTTCCCGTTTTCAAATTATTTTATAACAAATTTTCATTTTTAAATTTTAAGTGAACTAAATTTTAAGAAGAAATTTAAATAATTTTACAGTATTATTTGAGATAATTGGGGACACCCTGAGAAATTTTCAGAACTTGGATTGGTACTGAAGTAGGAATATGGCTGTCATGAGTGAGGGCAAAGACGTCGTCTTACTCTTCTGCGCTTAGCCGTGGACACTTGTCATGTGCTGCTAGGTTTATAAAGGATTTGAGGTGGTGGCTTCACAATGGAGAGGGCTCATTGCACCCTGTTGTTCCTTTAACCTCAGTTTGAAGGTAAAGAGATCAGAGGCAAAGCCTTACTGGCCCTCTCTGCCACATACTAACAGTGTGCCTTTGTGTGTAAAACTAGCCCCTCTTTGCCTCAGTTTCTGGATCTCTAAAATGGGCATAAGAATGGTTCATTACAAAAGGTCTAGTTGTGAAAAGTAAACAAGCTAATGCCCTAGAACAGTACCTGGCAGAAAACAGCACTTGAAAAATGTTAGCTATTACTAACTCTTGAGGAATGAACTCTAAAAGACCTTTTAATCATTAGTTTATATTTGGAATTGTGCACCAGGCACAGATAAAAGACCTCAGGAGCCAGGAAGAAAGACTCATTCACATTTTATTTATGTTCGTCATTGTTTATGTTGTGATATAGCTTCAGATTTTCTCAAAAAATAACATCAATACCTATAGGAAAATATTTCTCAACTTTTTAAAATCTCCCCTCTAAGAAGAAAAATTAATTTTAATTTAATTAATTGATTGAATTAACTTCAATTTAATTTTTCCCTATTGAGAAAAATTAAATACTAAAGAATAAGATTTTATTATGTAGGATTGAGTTTTGGAGAGCCACAGACCATTGTAATAGCTGAGATGTTTTTGCTCCCCAAGAACCAATTTTCACCCCCTTGTGGACTCTGTCACTCCCATTGAGAATGTATGCTATAGAAATATATTATCTTTGCAAAGATCAATTTCATTTTTTAAACAAAAAGTTTTTGTAACCACTTATATTAAAACTAGCACTATATGGTGACTGTGCAAAATAATTTGCTCATTTGAAATTAAGATCTTTCTCTTCCTAATAGATGAGAAGGGATTTGCAGCATTGGGACAGTGCTCTACAACTGGCAAAGCGTTTAGCCCCAGACCAAATACCATTTATATCAAAAGAATATGCTATTCAGCTTGAATTCACGTAAGTCCTCATCTTTATGTGTTTTAATCAGTATCTAATTACTGAAAGTCTTCAGTTCTAAACTGCCATTAATTATAAGGCCCTCCACTGGTTTAATAATTGCTAAAGGGGGAAAAACCTATATTAATTGTATATCCAGAAAATGTTTTTTCTAACTAGTGATGTCTTATCTATGCATTTATCCACTTTCATTTACAGCATCAAAATCTAAGTTTGGGTCTAAGCCTTTTCTACATGTAGAGTCTAAGTATTGTCTTGAATCACATTTGGCCAACAACAGTTAGGCAGAGCATCGGGGTGACATACCGCTTTTCATAACCTATGCTCGTGATCTTGACCCCCTTGAACATTTTGAGGTTTTGCAGTGTAATTTCAAGGCACAGTAAAAAAATAGTGGATTTTGGTCTGTAACTTCTATTTGCTTAAATTTGTAGTTTTTCTTTTTTTTTTAATTGCATTGCATATGGATAAAAATTTGACAGTTAATGTTGAAAATCAAGCCAGAAGCTTTTCACAGGCGGATATTCAGTGCTTGAGTAATGATCCTTCATGATGCATGAATAGGCTTCATAAATCTTTCCTACCTTTGGAAATGCCATAATCTATTCTGAGAGATTTAGGATTTTCTAGTGCTCCTAATTGCTTGACAGTCTTAATTGTCAATAGTCTTAATTGACAGACTACACATCTTTATTTTAATGCTGCATGAAAGTGTAATTTTAGAGGCATTCAGGATCCAGTTTTAAGCTCACATTCAGCCATGGTTGATGCTGCTAATGCAAATACCTGCAGAAATAATAAATGAGTGATTTGTTTGCAAATATAAGTTCACATGTGTATGTGCAATGCCAACTACATCACAACTGGACAATTTCTTTTGATGTTTATTATAAGATACATTCCAATTTCAAAAATAGTAAAATGTGGAAAAATATTGTTCTTTGAACAAAGAAAATATGGTTTTAACATTTGGTTTTTTAAAAAAACATTTTTATATTGTTCCACTTTTTCATATAGACTGGATTCATTGAGAACATGACACACAGATTTATAGTTGTAGAAATTATTCTATCAAAAAGAACCCTTATTTCTAACCAGGATCCCTTATTTTAAATTTTCCATTTTGCAAATAAAAAGTTTTTGGAGGGGGCCTGCCGGTGGCACAGCAGTTAAGTGCGCGCACTCTGCTGCGGCGGCCCGGGGTTCGCCGGTTTGGATTCCGGGCGCACACTGACGCACCGCTTGGCTAAGCCATGCTGTGGCGGCGTCCCATATAAAGTGGAGGAGGATGGGCATGGATGTTAGCCCAGGGCTGGTCTTCCTCGGCAAAAAGAGGAGAATTGGCAGATGTTCGCTCAGGGCCGATCTTCCTCACCAAAAAAAAAAAAAAAAAGTTTTTGGAGATTTTATTTCTTCTCAATCAACCTCGATTTAAATTTGTCACATCTCTGCCCCTTACAAAGTAAATCCATATATTAAAAAAGAGAAATTGGAATCTTAGTGCATAACACAAGAGGGGCAGGGCCCCAGTGCCCTGGGCCTCCAACTCTATCCTGCAGGTGACGGGGTCTTAGAGTACGAAACTTCTGTGCTGAAGAGAAAAGGGTCACTACATCGGGAGATGACCCGCCATATCCTGTCCGAGCACAAACACCCCAGTAACCCCCGGACCATTCAGAAGACTTTGATTTTCTCTTCTTTCGAGGGAATTGAAGCTTTCGTAGCAAACTCGCAGACTGTCTCATTATAGTCAGATGAGCTGAGGCCGGCTGAAAGCCCGTGCTTTGTTGTTGATATGTTTTAACCCTTTCTGTTCAACACTTGACCATGAAGCCACCAGTTCCCAAAACGTTCACTGCTATTCGTATGCCGACCCCTGGCCCCTGGTCTAGACGCATACCCCAGCCCCCAGCTATCAGGAAGTCTCCCTTGTGATAATAGTGGTTGACTAGGTGTATCTCCTCATCGTCCCATATCCCAGTAGCCACCGGCTGCTTGTTTTGACACCTAAGGGCCTAGGCCTCTGCTCAGTTCCAGCAGTCTGTTTTGCTCTGTATCTAAGACCTTGATTAGGTCAAAGCGAGACCAGTCTTTCAACTGTGGGAGCGAGTTAGCTCTCTAGCCTGGGACTAGACTAATGAGCTAGATCCATATGAGAGTTCCAAAATAAAATAATAATAAAGTGAGTGAGCTAAAATAACACAGAAATAAAGTGAGAGTTCAAAAATCTTAATTTAGCATCTCCGAATTTGGCTTGCCCAAGGAAAACCTCAAGCTCCTGAAGGAGGAATTGTAATTCCTGTTGTCAGGAGGCATCCCTAGCTATGTTAATGTAATTGGGTCCAAATATTCGAAATTTCCACTTAGAAACATTGCTGACCGTGGAGCCCTGGGCTGTCCAAAACAACACTCTCAATCAGCGGAACAGCTTCTCTTCCAAAAAATTCCTTGTACACCGACAAATGAGGAAACTGAGTGAGGCTTAGAGAGGTTGAAAAACTTGCCCAGACTGGTAATTGAGCTCAGGTGGATCTCAAATAACGCCGTTGTCAGAGCCGATTAATTTATTCTGGAGGAAATGGTTTCTCAGATGAAGATGGATCTCCAAATGGATTTAGGAAAATCACTGATCCGTTCCATGTCAAATAATAAAAACAAATTGAAATAGTAAATAGGTCTTCTGGATATGCAGATCCATGTTAGCATCAGTCATGGGAATAGAGAGTATTATTATTTATATTATGTATAATACTTTTTATCAGAGTAAGAACCGGGACCCTCAATATTGTAGTCTTCAGCATGTTCCTCCATTTCTACCCAGATTCTCTCAATACATATTCTATTTATAAATATTGGGTCTTTGGAAAACACATTGGTTTTTATGGGCACATGATTGTCATTTAGGGCCCCAAAGGAGATAACCAAAAGTGGCCCATAAAATTTAACGTAGCTCCCCAAAATGCCTAGTGTGCTGCAAAGTAACAGTCTAGTATAATTCAGCTTAATAATTATTTTTAAAGTAGCAAAATAATAACAGACTGCACTTGAAAAAAATGCTTGCATATATATTGTATACCACATCTTTTGTGAGCTCAAGCAACTCAGTGACAAAGATTATCTTTTAAATTTTGTACAGTCATGTGCCGCATAATGACGTTTCAGTCAATGATGGACGGCATAAACAACAGTGGTCCCGTAAGATTAGTACCCTATAGCCTAGGTGTGTAGTAGGCTATACCATCTAGGTTTGTGTAAGTACAGTCTATGATGTTCGCACAACTACAGAATCTCCTAAAAATGCATTTCTCAGAACGTATCCCTGTCGTTAAGCAACATGTGACTGTCTATGTAAATAAGATACTTAAATATGTATTAAAATTCACTCTGATTTTTCTTTCAGGGGTGATTATGTAAATGCTTTGGCTCATTATGAGAAAGGAATAACAGGTGATAATAAGGTAACCTTGAATAAAGATAAAATATGCATAATTATCTTGGGGTTTGTTGTTCATTTCATTTAAAAAATCGTGGTCCTATTTGCATTGTATTTATTCAATGTCTAGCAGGTGAGCATTTTTTCAGTTTATTAACAACTTTGCAAGGATATAGTTAAATCATTTTAAAACATTTTAAACTCTTTAAAACTAAAGATGACAGCACTTTTTTCAGTCTAAAAAAGATATGTTTTCCTTTACATCCTAAATATGAGCTGCTTATTAAGGTTGGGAGAAAGATTTTTCTCTCTTCCTACTTACAGGCTAACTATGATTTTCATAAAGCTTTTCCTTTTACTTTACTCTTTTAAGAAGTTTCAGTAACCACTTTGAAAGTGAATTCCCAGTCCACAGAAGTCCGTCTGTTGTTTCATCTCTCATGCTGTGTCTTTTATAATAAACCTGGAAAGCATGTGCTTTACCCTCTGTTCCAGCCCACTCTCCCATCCCAGAATTATAGCTCAAGAAGCTAAACTTTGCAATAAAAATTGATATTTTAAAGTTAGGTGATGTCTTGCAACAATTGAAAATCTTTCTTTTTTTTCCGGTGTATATCTAATATTTTTATTACAAAATTAATACAATTTCATTATAGTCAATTTTAAAAATCACTAAAGTATATTAACATGAAAAGTGAGAGTCCAACATTCTCTCCTCCATCCACACCCCTTAATGGTAACCACTGTTAATGACTTCATATATTTCCATCCAGAATCTCTTCTAAGCATACAAGTATATATATAATATGGATTTTTCTAAATATGAAATCATTCATTTTCATTCATTCAGCAAAGATCACCTGAGAATCCATTCTGAAAAGTAGCATTTTGCTTTCTTCATGGTCTTTCCAAGTCAGTACATACGAATCTGTTTTAATCTTTTAAGAGCTTCTAATATTCCATCGTTTGGATGTACCGTAGTTTTTTTCATCCACTCCCTTATTGAATTATAGTTGTTTTTGGTTTTTTTACTATCAAAAACACTGCAATGGATATTCTACCTAGTACGTGTATCTTTAACTACCTAAGATAGTATTTCTGAAGGATGTATTCTTACAAGTGGGATTTCTAGGTCATAAAATGTGTGCCTTTAATTTTTTATGTTGCTAAATTGCTCTCCAAAAGAAATTGTAGTCATTCATACAGCTATCAGTTGTATATGAAAGTGTCCCTTTCCCCCACATTCTCAACAACACTGAATATTATCAACCGTTTGATAAGCAGAAAAGAAAAAAGGTATTTTATTTTATGTGTATTTGATTATTGGTGAAGTTGAGCATGTTTTATTTATTTATTGGCCAGTTATATATATATGTTTTTTGCGAGTTGCCTGATCATATCCTTTGCTCATTTATCTCTTAGGTTTTTGGTATTTTCTTTGGCTACATGTATTTTAGTTCATGCTTTATCTGTGTTATCAAATACAGTAACCACTGGCCACGTGTGGCTATTTAAATTATTTAAAATTAAATGAAATTTAAAATTTAGTTTCTCTGTCACACTAGCCATATTTCAAGTGTTCAGTAGCCGCGTGTGGCTGTTAGCTATCATGTTGGACAGGGCAGATATAGAACATTTCCATCCTCACAGAATGTTCTACTAGATGTGCTGCTTTACATAAAATGTAATTTGATATTACATTTTACTAGTACAGATTAGTTATTTGAAAAGTTCTTCAGTTATCTTTAATGGATTAAACAGTTTTAAATAAATTAATAAAGTTTTTAATGTTTAATTATGCCTAGTAGAGAAATTTTCAATTTAATAAATGGTTTTTCTCTTAATTTTATTCATAGCATTTATGTTATATATCCAGTATATTACTGGAAATTTTATATTCTTACATAAAATTTTATACCAAGAAGACATACAAAGATATGCAAGGCATTATGACAAGGGATAGTAAAAATTTGGTCTTAAGCATAAAACATCTAGACTTCTGAAGAAAAAAAATATAACTTGGTAACAGATGATTTAAAAAAAAAGAGACTCGGGCCGGCCCGGTGGCTTAGCGGTTAAGTGCGTGCGCTCCACTACTGGCGGCCCGGGTTCGGATCCCGGGCGCGCACCGACGCACCGCTTCTCTGGCCATGTTGAGGCCGCGTCCCATGTACAGTAACTAGAAGGATGTGCAGCTATGACATACAACTATCTACTGGGGTTTTGGGGGGAAAAAGGAGGAGGATTGGCAATCGATGTTAGCTCAGAGCCAGTCTTCCTCAGCCAAAAAAAGAGGAGGATTAGCATAGATGTTAGCTCAGGGCTGATCTTCCTCACAAAAAAAAAAAAAGAGAGAGAGATTCAGTGTTACTTCACAATCTTGAGATTTGCCTGAAAAGATTAAAGAAAGTAAACCATAACCTTGGGGCTCATTTTATATTTAAATTAACTGTTTGGCCGAAATAGATCATTTTGAGTGAGGGTCTGATTTGTTAGTTATGTGCCTTATACTTACAGGAACATGATGCTGTGTGTCTGGCTGGAGTGGCCCAGATGTCCATAAGAATGGGAGACATACGCCGAGGGGTTAGCCAAGCCCTCGAACATCCCAGCAGGGTCCTCAAGAGAGACTGTGGAGCTATACTGGAGAACATGAAGGCAAGCTTTTCTGTGTGTAAACATCCTGTGATCTTCTATATAATAAAGTTAGTATTTTAATAATCTCATATTGTTTTAGCAATTTTCAGAAGCAGCCCAACTGTATGAAAAAGGTCTCTATTATGACAAAGCAGCGTCTGTTTACATCCGCTGTAAGAACTGGTAAGAATTTGCTAAAATTTGTTGTGAGCCGCCATGGAAACGAATGGGCCCGCTGGCCTCCGTGCTTGTTTCCTTGCTGCTTCTCCTGCCTGTACATCCTGTCCCGCCCGTCTGGGCCTTCCTTCCACGTCCTTTTTCTTTTCTTATATGAGTTCATATCAGTAGTTCTTTTTCCAAAGAACAGCACATTCTATTGGTTTGGTATGGGGACATCCTGAAAGGGATAAATTACTGGGGGAAAAAAAGCCCTATTGCCCCCAAAGACTTAACGAACTAACCTTCATTTTGCCACAGAGGGTGGGCTGGTGGTGGGGGATCGCGAGAAAAAGCCATTAAATCTGCCTTTACCTATAGGAGCCAAGATTTTAGAAAGATCGTGATAACTGTTTTTGAATCCTACAAACTAACCTTTGATTGTAGGAAGCTACTTTTGGAGTGACTCTAGTGTTGATATTCTCCTAAACCTACCTTTCTAGGGCAAAAGTTGGTGAGCTTCTGCCTCACGTTTCTTCTCCAAAGATCCACTTGCAGTATGCCAAAGCGAAGGAAGCAGATGGAAGGTTTGTACAATTTCTCAAATTTATACAGATTTAATGTTTTATAAATTAACTATCGATATTTGCAACCCTCTAAGAAAGGCAGAGCTGAGAAAGATAGAAAACATGTTTAGCCCTCGCCTGGCCTGAAGTGCCAGACTATTAAATTTTCCTCATACTTTGTATACCTCAATCAATCCTTTATGTATTCAGATAAAGACTACTATCTCTTTTTGTTTGAGGGTTAAATACTAGAAGTTGAAATTTTGATATAATATGGCATGAAAATGAAGTTAAGCGATAGTCATTCTATGAAGGAGGATAATTTACTGATGCAGAGGAAAAGAAAAGTGAATAAACATGAATTCCACACCTAGGGCTGCACCGTATGAGTCACAAAACATGAAAATATAGCAGTGGACAGTTAATATCCTAAATAGACAAAGATCTCCTGCAACTTAATGCAAGAAACTCAAAGGTGCTAGGAGGAAATGGGCTCAAGACAAGGAGGAGTCCCAGAGGAGGAAATACAATTATGAAATTGTATTTCATGCAAACGTGAACGAGTTCTGCCTCACTAATAGTAATTAATTAAAGCAGTAGTATATCGTTTTAACCTATCATATTGGGATTTATTTTAAACTAATGACCATACTGTCAAAATGCACTTATTATACGTGACTGATGGAAGATAAATTTTAAAGCCTTTAGAAAGTTATTTGGCAATATGTATTAAGAGATTTTTGAAGGTTAATACCCTCCACTTTTAGAAAAGTAACCTTGGGAAATAGAGATATACACTCAATGCCTTGTTGAAATGGAAAGAGCTAGAGAGCTAGTGGAGACTGAAGAGAAGTCTTGAGCTCCATCTAGAGGTCGACACACAAAGATTTTGTATGTCACTGTTAAGCTGTATCTGTGATTAGTGAAAAATTCTGTATTTTCTATGTTTTCTAAAATAAGCCTAGGTTACTATAATAATCTTCCTACTCAAAAAAAACAGTAAAATGTAAAAAATTATATATATATATAGTTCAGATGAGAAACACAATTCAATATTGGTATTTTACTGTTAGTTTATCAAACCCCTGAAAAGAACATTTTAGTGAGATGGTTCCTGGTATTCTTTCTGTTGAAAGACAATGAAGGGCCGGCCCCGTGGCTTGGCGGTTGGGTGCGTGCGCTCCGCTGCTGGCGGCCCGGGTTCGGATCCCGGGCATGCAGCGACGCACCGCTTCTCCGGCCATGCTGAGGCCGCGTCCCACATACAGCAACTAGAAGGCTGTGCCACTACGACATTCAACTATCTACTGGGGCTTTGGGGGAAAAAATAAATAAATAAAATTTAGAAAGACAATGAAATTCAAGAAAAAGAAGCAACCACCATCAATAAAAGAGAACAGTGTCCCAAACGTTTATTGACATTTTTCTCCCAAATGTGACAGTGTTAAGAAAGTTTGTCTGAACTAAGTATTTCTTATAGATATAAAGACGCTGTTGTGGCTTATGAGAATGCAAAACAATGGAACAGTGTAATCCGCATCTATCTGGATCATCTCAACAATCCCGAAAAGGCCGTCAGTATTGTCAGAGAGACCCAGTCTCTGGATGGAGCCAAAATGGTAGCCAGGTAACATAATGCATTAATATTTTTGGACTTCCAAAAACTAGCACTAAAAGAAAGCCCCCACTTCCCCTTACCAAATAAATACATTCAAATGGAATATTTTTTTTTCTGTTTTTTTTTTATTAGGTCTGTGTTTAAATTCAAAGGCTGTTTGTTGTGGTCAGTGTATGAGAGTATATTTTTCAAATATAAGCATGTAGTATAGAACTGCAGCTCACCTAATATATTTTTGTTTTTAAATGGTTTCTCATGGTTGAAAAAGATTTTATTTTGTAAATGACAAACTTATTTTAAATGAGTCAAGCTAATTAAAGTACGTTGTTTTAGGTTTTTTCTACAGTTAGGTGACTATGGGTCTGCCATCCAGTTTCTCGTTATGTCCAAATGTAATAATGAAGCTTTCACACTGGCTCAGCAACACAACAAGATGGAAATATATGCAGACATTATTGGTAAATATCATTATTTTCCTTAATTTATCTTAAAGATTTTTATCATAGAAACAGTTTGACTCTTATGATCTAATGGTCAGATTGGTAACCGTCAAGCACATACGCACACACCATTTAGACGTAGACACACACATATCTATATGTTATTTGTCAGATTTCAGGATCCCTACTATCACCTTAAAGGTGAGATGGAATTATAAGACCATTTTCAAAAATTAAGGTTTTCTGGGTGAATTCCAAGAGAGGCCAGATTTCCCAAATCCTGCTATTGATCAACCAGTGGTAAAGCAAGTTTCCAAAATAAAGGTGATAGGACATGGAGAATGATATTTTAAAAAGTAAATGTTTTCATAAATTTTTAAAATTGAGTTACACATTAAGAGTATATGATTACTTTGAAGAAGAGTGATATACACAAGATATGGTCTTTAAAGATTTTGAAAGTCCAGAAGAGAAATTTATATTCTGAGAACACCTGCTTATAGCTTCTCCTCCCATATTTGTAATTATTCTCAGGAACTACTGAAATAACTATCAGATTTTCATTTTGTGGGCCTTTATTTGTGGTGGTGTTTTGCTTTGCTTTTTTGTGTGTGTGTGGTAAAATATAGATGACATAAATTTACCATTTTAACTGTTTTTAAGTGTACAGTTTGGTTGCATTAAGTACATTCACATTGTTGTGCAACCATCACCACTATATCTCCAGAACTTTTTCCTCATCCTAAACTAAAACTCGGTATCCATTAAACAACAACTCCACTTTCCCCTCAACCCCTGGTAACTACTGTTCTCCTTTCTGTCTCTATGAATTGACCAGTTATGGTACCTCATATAAGTGGAATCATAAAATATTTGTCCTTTGTGTTATTTTGTTTTTTAAAATTCACAAAATGCCCATAAGAATTGATAATAAGATTCATGAGACAATTTTTGTTTCACTCTTCAAGGGAAAAAATAGGTAAAAGCATCTTCTAATATCTTAGGAAGTCATGGGGATAATTAGAGAAAATAAATAGTTAAGAAAAAGAAGTACAGATAAAAGCAACATTAGAATTACTGATGTTTAACTTGGCAGATGACATTTCTGTACTGACATTACAAGTCACCATTGCGCTAAAGCATTTCAGTTTTTCTAATTTCCTGAGGATGTGGCTTATCCTGTATCGTATACACACCCACACACACACCCTCCCACCCCCAAAACAAAACACACACTTCTCTCCACCTTTCTTTACCGACTTCTCTCATAAACTCCATATCTGCCTGGGGCTGGAGGCACAGGGCTGTCTTGACACTTGGGTACCCTGCTGAGCCTCCATCTCCCATGGGGAAATGTAAACGATGACTGGAACTCCCGCAGCTCTGAGGTCCTCTGCCTCTGTGCTTAATATATTTAAGCCTCAAACCAAAAGAAAAATAGTACATCTGTTGGCCATTTGACTATCATCTTCCTTACTTGTCTGACAAATACGTACAGACTATTGTTTAAAGCAGGCATTGCTGAGAAAGGGAGGTAGATTACATGTGTATTTTTGCTTCTGATTGTTTTGAAACTCTAGGCAAATCATGGTTGAGATTATAGTCATAGTTGTTCCTGTTGTTTTAGGAAATGTGATTGAGACTCGTAAAGAATGATAAAGTCACTAAGAGTAATGTCAAACCATAACCTAGAGTCTCACAGAGCCTCATAATTTCCTCTCCTGATTCTTGTTTAGAGTGAAAAGAAGAGGGAGTTGATATGTGGGGTAATTATGATGAATGTGTTTTGTGATGAAACAGGCACTGATAATAACATTGATATTTGCCATTAAAAGTTTTTAATCCCCTATTTTTAGATCACCTGTTTTTAAGATCTTGTTTACCTTTTATTGCTAACCTAAAAATAAGTTTTACTAAGATGTTTTACTCAATGAACTTCTGTTGTAGGTTCTGAAGACACTACTAATGAAGACTATCAAAGCATTGCCTTATATTTTGAAGGAGAAAAAAGACATTTTCAAGCTGGAAAATTCTTCTTGCTGTGTGGCCAATATTCACGAGTTAGTATTTGCCAAGAAAACACACATTGGACTCCACTGGAATGATTATAGGAAATATTTAAAAATATCTCATGCTCCCAGACACTCAGATTTGAAATCTCAAAGTCAACTTTAAAATCTTCCCCTCTCTTCCACACCCAATCACATTCTTCCTTCATAATGTCTCTCACATCTCTCTCTTTTTATTCTAACTTCCATCAACTTAATCCAAACCCGGGTCACCTCACTTAGATTATTGCAGTATTTTCCTATTTTTCCTGTTTTTACTTTCTCTCCCCATAACTCATCCTTCGTTTTGTTCCCCAGATGGTACCCACTTTCCGTGCTAAAGAGCCCTGAAAAGCAGAGGTTGCACGTTCAAGCAAGGGACATAACTAAGTGAAGCTGCGGGGTAAAGCTGTGCGTTCACTGTGTGACAGGGCGGTGACTGCTGGATAGCACCTGTTTTCTTTGAAGGGAACAGCTGCTGCTCACCTCCAGAAAATTGCCATTCAGGAGTTTGGGCCCAGTAGTGCCAGATCATATGATTTTTCATGAGAAACAGAAGGCTGAGTCTCTCTATTTTAAAATATGGGCCCAGGTATTTGTATAATACCTCACTGGCCAAAGAAACGTGTCTACGTGTGAATCAGCCTTCAAGCCACCAATATGCTGTTTCTAGCCTCTTAGATACTAAGTCCAGACTCCTTTGCTGGCACTCAAGAGAATTTCCACAATTTGACCAACCAGCCTGAACTTCCCAATGTGGCATCTAGCGATTTCCATTGAAGAATCCTATGCTTCCACTAGCCTTTTCCCATCAGTGTCCTCCATCTAGATTCTTCTCTGCCCTCTCCCCCACCTACCTGTTCAAGTCCTTCTTCTTCTGTGATACCTTCGGGATTATCCCCATGATTAATCATCTTTTCTTAATCAGAGCACCTATAGAACCACTTGGCTATACTGCCCATTTGTCTTTTAAACTTTTATAACCTTAAATTTCTTCATAGGTGTGGTGCTATGGTGTTCAGGAATTAGATAATTATGACTTAAAATCATTGATTCCTTCTATTATCATCACATCACACAGATCTCCCCGATTAGATTGTACATAATACAAAAGGGGGGGCCGTATCATGTCCTTCCTGGTAGTCTCCATAGCATCCAGCACAGTCGCATACGTATTGTAGCAGGTTGTCAGTAAATATTTATTGATTGAATAAATGAATGAAAATAATTAAATCTTCCTACTTAAAGAGGGCACATTTTTTCACTTTCATTTCATCAGAAATCAGAACTAGATTCTTCAGAGGGTTAACTGGATCCTTCCACTTTTTAAATTACACTCAGCCTTTTAAAGTATATATTTTAAGACCTAGCACCATGAAAGCTCCTGGTTGAGATGAAGGTACTGTCACAAACTGGAATTACTTTGCGTATGTGAAAGCTTTGTTTTTCCCAACGCGAAAGCAGTCTGAAAATTTTTAATTGCCATACAATTCTCATTTCAGGCACTTAAACACTTCCTGAAATGTCCAAGCTCAGAAGATAATGCGGCGATAGAAATGGCAATTGAAACTGTAAGTAAACTCTGTAATGAAGCTTTTGAGAATGCCAGTATTTGTTAAAACTTTTTGAAGAAATTTCCAAACATATACAAAAGTAGACCAAAGAGTAAAACAAACTCCCGTGTACCCATCATCTCACTTCAACAGCTATCAACACACGGCCAGTCTTATTTTATTCATACCCCCACCCTCTTTCCCTGTATTATTTTAAAACAAATCATTTCATTTGTGGATACAAAATTCTATCTCTAAAAGATAAGAACTTTTGGATTTTCTTTTAGTTGTAACTTGAAAACAGTCGAGTGCACAAATCCTAAGTATACAACTCAATTAATTTACGTACACCTGTGTAACCCCCACCCAGATCAAGATATAGAGGATTTCCAGCTCCCCAGAAGGCTCATTCATGTTACCTTCCAGTCAGTGCACCTCACCACGGGTAACCACAATTCTAACTTCTATCCTTATTGATTGGTTTTACCTGTTTATGACTTCCATTTTAATGGAATTATACGTTATGTACTCTTTTGTGTCCAGTTTCTTTCAGTCAATGTTAAGTCTACAAATGCTTCTGTGTTATTGCATGTAGCAATAGTTGGTTCTTATTCATTGCTGCGTAGTATTCCACTATATGACTGTACCACTATTTATTTACCCATTATTCTGTAAATGGACATTTGGGTTGTCTCCAGTTTGGGTTTATTATGAATAAAGTTGCCATAAAGCTGTTCATGTCTTTTGGTGGACATAAGCACTCAGTTTTGGTTTTTTTGTGTGTGAGGAAGATCAGCCCTGAGCTAACATCCGATGCCAATCCTCCTCTTTTTTTTTTCGCTGAGGAAGATTGGCCCTGAGCTAACATCTGTGCCCATCCTCCTCTACTTTATATGGGACGCCGCCACAGTATGGCTTGACAAGCAGTGCATCGGTGCACGCCCAGGATCTGAATCTGTGAACTCTGGGCCGCTGCAATGGAGCACACTCACTTAACCACTTGCATCACCAGGCCGGCCACCATAAGCACTCAGTTTTATTGGGTATATATCCAAGAGTAGAATTATTAGGTCATAGGGTATACATATTTTTAGCAATAGTAGGTACTGCCAAACATTTTTTTCAAAGTAGTTGTACCAATTTGCTCTCTACCAGCAATGTAACAGAATTTAGCTGCTCCTCATCTTACCAATACTTATCAGTCTATTTCATTATAACTATTCTAATAGATGTGTAGTGGTTTCTCATTATAGTTTTAATTCATTTTTCTAAAGACAATTGATATTGAGCACCTTATCGTATGTTTATTGGCCATTTGAATATCCTGTTTTGTGAAGTGCTGTTCAAATCTTTTTTCTAATGTTTAATTGTATCATCTCATCTTATTCTTACTGATTTGTAGGACTTTATTATATATTCTGGATACAAGTCTTTTCATCAGATAGATGTATTATGAAAATCTCTCAAGCTGTGGCTTGTCTTTTTATTCTCTAGTGGTATCTTGATGAAAAGAATTCTTAAGTTTTAATAAAGTGCACCTTATGAGTCTTTTCTTTTATGGTTAGTGCTTTTTAGTCCTATTTAAGAAATCTTTGCCTCTCCCATGGTCATGAAGATATTTCTCTTATGTTTTCTTCCAGAGATTTGATTGTTTTAGCTCTCTTATTTAGGCCTACGCCCATCTTGAATTAACTTTTGTGTATAGTGTGAAGTAGGAGTCAAGAATCTCTCTTTTCCATATGGATATCCAGTTGACCCAGCACCATTTATCAAAAGACTATCCTTTCCCACTGAATTACCGTGGAGCATTTGTCATAGATGAAATGACCATATATGTGTGAGTCTGGTTTTGGATTCTTTATTCTCTTCCATTGACTTGTCTATCCTGTACCAATACCACACTATCTTAATTACTATATTATATGTATTATATATTATAATCTACTTTCTGTCTCTATGGATTTGCATATTCTAGACATTTCATTTAAATGGAACCATACAACATGTGACTTTTTGTGTCTGGCTTCTTTCATTTAGCATAATACTTTCAAAATTCATCCATATTGTAGCATGTATCAGTACTTTATTCCTTTTTATGGCTGAATAATATTCCTATGTATGACTATATACATTGTATTTATCCATTCATCAGTTGATAGACATTGGGTTGTTTCCACTTTAGGGCTATTATGAATAATACTGCTGTTAACATTTGGGTACAGATTTTTGTGTGGACATGTGTTTTCATTTCTCTTGAATATATACCTAGGAGTAGAATTGCTGGGCTATACATTAACTCTATGTTTAACATTTTGAGGAATTGCCCAACTATTTCCCAAAGCAGCTACACCATTTTACATTCCCAACAGCAATATATTTGGGGGTTCCAGTTTCTCCAACAATAATCTCTTGATATTGTCAAACATCTAGTTAGAGTTCAAATTTCCTTAACTGTTGCAGAAATGCTTTTTCACAGCTGGTTAATTCACATCCTATCCAAACAAGGTCCTTAAAGTGGATTTAGTTTATATGTGCCCTTAAGTCTCTTTTAATCTCTCTCTCTCTCCCTCCCTCCATCTCCTCTTCTCTTCTCCTTTTTCCTCTTTCTGCTCTCCCACTCCCCTCTTCCCTCACCCCTCTCTCCTGTTATTTCACCCCTTTGCCATTTATTTGTCAAGAAAACAAGTTGTTTGTACCGAGGAATTTCTGACATTTAGATTTAGCTGATTGCATCTTTGTGGTATAATTTAACTTGTTTCTCTACCTCCTGTATTTCCCACTAACTACTAATTAAATCTAGATACTTGATTAGACATAGGTTTTATATTTTTGGAAAAACTCATAGAATATGCCATATACTTCCTCTTTCATCACACCAGTAGGCTCATGTCTTAGTCACCTCAGGCTGCCATAACAAAATATTACAGACTGGGTAGCTTAAACAACAGAAATTTTTTTCTCACAGTTCTGGAGGCGGAGAAGTCTAAGATCAAGGAGCCAGCCAATTTGATTCCTGGTGAGGGCTCTCTTCTTGGCTTGCAGATGACCACCTTCTCGCTGTGTCCTCACGTGGCCTTTCCTCAGTGCTTGCAGACGAGGAGAGAGGGAGAGATCTCTCTCACTTCCTCTTTTCATAAAACCACCAATCCCACCATGAGGCCCCAACCTCATGACCTAATATAACCCTAATTTCCTCCCAAAGGCCCCATCTCCACATACCATCACATTGGGGGTTAGGGTTTCAACATACGAATTTGAGGGGGACATAAACATTCAGTCCGTAACAGCCCATAATTTTTTATTGTCTCTCTTTTTATCATGTTAAGATTGATTATTGGGTGTAGGTGTAGTCAGCCTGATCCATCCATTGTAAAGTTTCCAGTCAACCTTTCACCTAGTGATTTCAGCAGCCATTAATGTTCATTACTTAGATCTGTTATTTTATTAGCAGTTGCAAAATGGTGATATAGTAATTTTGTCATTCCTTTTGAATTCCACATCAGCTATTTGGTTACCCTGAAAAGGAAAAGTAGGGTAAATACTTGATTTTATTCCCCCTTTGTTTACTAGTTTTCAGAATAATGAGTTGGTTCCCTGACATCCTCCAAAAGTGACTGGTGACATACTTTTGTTTTTAATATCATTAGAACTCATAGATTTTTAGCATATTTGATATATTTCAATCTATTGCAGTTGATATTATTTTTGATTCCCAAATTGTCCTTTTACATGGACTATTATTTCCTTTTAACACAATCCTATTAATCTTTGATAGCTTCCTTGCCCTCAGGTACACCAAGATATTACAGATTCCATTTCTTGCCCCAGTCCTGGACTCAGACATTTCTCTAAGGAGTTCCAGTTCCTTTTAGTAAGAAATGTTATTTGGAGACCATAATTTGGTTGCTAGGAATATTCACTGCTATGGAGTTCATCACTATTTTTAAGCCTTTTCAGTAAGAGTGTTGACATTTTTATTGTGATATAAAAATTAGTATTAGTTTTCTAAAATCATCTGAATTTGAAGCTGCAGGGGAATTATTAAAGAGTGGAAATTATTCTCTGGCCATTCACAAAAGGCTATTATAAAAATAGTCTCTTATTCTCTGCTTTTCTCTACATAAGCACAACATTTGCTAAGACCTACTTCCTCCAGGAAGCCAGAATCAAGACTGCCAGCAGCTCCTGAAAGTGAATCTCCCACTTTCCTACCAAAGATAGACTGGGACTCTAGTCCCAAATTCATAAATCCAGAAGGGGTCTGATTTGGTTAGTTCAGGTGTCCATTCCAGGATCAGTCAACTGGTGGCCACAGGATGAAATATCATGCCTGGGCAAATTAGGTCAAATTCCCACCCCTAGACAAAGCTTATGGGCATGGAGATGGAGTCCTCTAAGACGTGGAAGTCCCACTAGAACCCTATAGTTGAAATGGAGATAGGAGCATTTCTCAGAAGAGTTGAAGGAATAAATCAAATCAGACAAAATTATAGAAGTCCCTTGCAGCTATCAAATTTCTCTCCTTTTATTGGTATTTTTTAATCCCACAGTATCTACCTCCAGTTGTGCTATGTATTTTGTTAAATTTTATTAAGGTCATATAAAACCAACATATTTGTATTTGTTAACCATTACTGGGATTACTTCATTTAGACAAGTTCATTCTGAACTTCACCACTGGATGATTTTTCTAAAGTCTAGTTTTGAATCATTTTATTCTCTAGCTACAAAACCTTTAGTGGCTCCCCATTGCCTCACAATTTGTTCCCAAGCTATTCTTCATGGATTACAGAATCTTAGATATCCCTGGAGGTGATCCAGTCTAACCTCCATTTTACTAATGAGGAAACAGGTCCCAGAAGGTGATAGGGCTAACCTAAAGACACCTAAATAGAAAGTAATAGAGCTAGGACTAATACCTAAGTCTTCTTTCCAACCAAATTGCCTATTAGACTCCTCTAGGTCAGTACTTTGGGCTACAACTAAACTGGCCACTTTTTCCTGAATAGGTCAGGGCTCCCCTTCCTTTGTTCCTTCACTCTCACCGTCCACTACCTCTAGAACACTCTCCCTCGTGCACCTCTGCCTTTCAAACTCCTACCCAAAATGCAAGACCTACTTCACACACCACTTCCTATGAAGCTTTTTCTGAACTGTCCTCTGGGTGAAATTTCACCCTCCTTAGAATCCCGTAAGTACTCTGAACCTTCCTTACCGCTACAGTTGACCCCCTCCAGACTAATAGTTCCACGAGGTCAAGTATTCATATCTTTATAGAGTGTTCAGCACATTGTGGACACTCAATAAATATTTGTTGAACTGAACACGTTGACCCCCAGCTCAGTGAAAGCACTATATAGGTGACATAAGTTTCCTTCCCAGTCCTCCATTCCTTTCTTTCCTTTCTACCTGGAGATTCCCTTCCCTGAAAAAAAATCACCTTTACTTGTGACTTGCATTTTCTCACAACCTGTGCATTTTCATATGCTGATTCTCAACCAGAAGGCGTCCGCCTTAGTTATGTGAGAACATCTTTAAAATGTTCATACTTGACCCACCCCACCTCTATTCTCTACACATCAAGGTTCTGAAATACCTTCTTGGTGTGTGTGTTGTGGGGAGGGAGGTAGTAATAGACCCCTAGTTGGGAATCATTACTTGGCGAGCCCCTGATATGGAAGGGAAAGATGAGGCTGTACAGTATCCGTTAGCTGTGTTGGGGGCCTTCCTTACCACTTTGCAGTCAGCTGCCTTCACCACTCCATAAACCTCTAAAAGGTCCCCACTATCTCTTACTTGCTAAAGACACAAGTCTCTTCTCAGCCTTCACCCTTCTCCATGTTGTGGCATCATTTTACACTATCATACTACATCTTTCTTGAAATTTTTACTCCCTTGGAACACCGCTTCTTCTGGTTCTCCAATTACTTCTCACATGGCCCCTTCTCAGCCTTCTTCACTGGCTCTTCTACCCCTTAAATGTAAGTGTTCCTCAGCATTCTGTCTCCACTCTTCTTTTAATTTTAATTCTGACTGGCCACATCTGTTCCTCCTGTGGGCTGCCCTTTCCATCTATCCTAACATTTCTGGTGTGCTCAACTCTCTGAAATTCAAGTTTAACTGGGAGTCCTTATTTTTATTTGCTGTATCTGGCAACACTATCTGCCTAGCACCAGTCCAAGCCCTTTATGTGTATTAACTTATTTAATCCTTACAATAATTCTGTGAGCTAGGTATTATTTTTATCCTCATTGAGGTCCCAAGAGTAACCTGCTCAAGATCACACAGGTGATCTTTGGCCTCCGGCAGGCTGACTGCAGAGCCCTTGCTTTAGCTGTCTCTCCGTACTGGCGTATTCACTCATAGCCATCCACAAGAGCCATCAAGATGAGCTCCGTCATTTCTTTTCCTTATAGCGGTGGCAAGAGCAGAGGCAACATATTTGTAAAAGCTTAGCTTTCTTGCACTGACAACTGCCCAGGCAGTGATGTGTGTAGAAATTCTGCGGCCCGAAGAGCTTCTCCAACTCACAGGTTCACTATGATCTCTTTTATGCTCAAGTCTACTGATCTCATCCTTCCTCTGCTGCACGGACAACTTCCAGACTTCTCCTGTACTTTCCCCTGAGGTGTAACAAGCTGGGCTATTACTCTGTTGCTCTGTCCCTAATGACAGTTTCCTTCATTTTCCAGGGGCTTTTCTCACTATATCATTAATATGACAAGAGGGCAGCGCCACACTCTTCAGTGTTCGTGCTCTTTGGTTGAACTCCAATTGTGTTCTTGGCTCACCTCTTTTTTATTAGACACAAGACTCTTAAGCCTCCTAATCATGTCAGTAATTATTCCTACTAATTAAAACTAAAACATTTCCATCCTCCAATATGATACTTAAATTTTCCTGATCAACAGCACCCAACACATCAGTGGTTTAACTCTGACCTTTATGGAGATGACTTTCAAATCTAGATCTCCAAGCCAAGGTCCTCTCCAGAACCCCATTCCACATTTCCAGCTGCCTGCCCTCTTCTGGGCTCCTATGGCCTTACTTTTTTCTACTTCGGATTATACGTAGCCAAGTGCAAGTGTGTTTCCTAAAGGAGCAGATGGAGAAGAGGCACTCGGTAGTATATTGTTGTATAGGCCTAGTTCCTGTGCTCGATGTTATTCCCTAGATGTTATAGTCACTTACCTTAAGGAAGTTTTTATTGAAACGTCGAAGGAGTATATTCTCTCTCTGTGTAAAAAATATACAGTTTTTGATATAGCAACTTAGAACAGCTATAGCTTCTAAGGATAGATTTTTATTAATGGAGACTCTACAAATGAATGAAGAAAGACCCTGAGCTTATCATGTTCCCGGCACTTGACTATAGCTATTTTTACATATTTTTAAATTACATTTCCTTAGCAGAAGATTATTTGTCCTTTTTCCTCCCCTTTCTAGGTTTCAGATGCTGAATTTACTGTTTCTTTCTCTTCCTAAACAGGTTGGTCAGGCCAAAGATGAACTACTGACCAATCAACTGATAGGCCACCTTATGGGAGAGAATGATGGCATGCCTAAGGTACTAAAAATGTTGTCTTCACTTGGATTTTTAAGTATCTTAGTTATGATTGTACTTTATTCTGACCTGTTTTTACCTGTTATGGATTTTGCATCATAAACTCATAAAATTTTCTCTCTGAATGTAGCCTTAGGTCATCTAGACAGACCCGCATTTTAGAGGATATCGTGTACATTCACTCTTTGAAATTGGCCTTGCCACCTGTGAAATAGCCACGCCCCTCTAGATAACAACCCTCACCACCCACAATTTTTCTCAAACGTTATAGTTTTATTTATTTTAGGAACTATGAAAAGTGATTATTAGAACTATGAGTTAGCACTAATCCCTAAAAATCAGTGTATTTTGTTCATATTTCAAAAATTATGGGAATTAATAGAAATCATATTTAGCATAAAAGTAACTCACTATACAGTAGAAATAAATCATTAAGAACATATTTTCAAAATATGTGACTCTCTTGGAGTTCATGCAGAAATTGGTCTTCTCTCAGTCACAATGAGAACAGACTCCTTTGAGAACGCCCCCCGAGCTTTTTCTTTCCTTTTGCTCAAGTGTTTAAGGGAATCTGCTTGTGAAGGAACTCGAGTAACTGATTTGGAGAAAAGGCACTAGCATGTCTTAGCTGGAGAGGATTGCAGCGATCCTGATCCCCGAGACAAAGACCCCGAGACCCAGGGAGGCCAAGTTAATCTGCCAAAGGGTGCAGGCGTTAAACCGCTCCAAACTACCTCACCTTATGTCCACTTATTCTAATAATCAGGAAACCAGCATCAAGTATGTGAAACTGTCTAGAATTAAAGAGAAGAGGAATGGAAAATGGTCAAAGGCCAAAGAAAACTTTATAGGCCAGAGAAATTTATATAAGGGTAAAAATTTTTGAAATTTTGCGAAGTTGGTTCATTGTATAAGAATACATTTCAATTTCAAGCACATATGAGAGAACTCTATGGAGGAGGGTTAGGAATACAGACTCTGAAACCTGATCACTGTTGGTCAAATCCTGGCTCTGGAGAGGTCCTACTGTGTTTCAGTTTCTCATCAATGAGATTAGTATATAATCGTGCCTGCCTCCCAGGGAGGGTATGGGGATTTACATTAGTTAATATTTCTCAAGTACTTAGACTATTACCTGGCATATATTAAACTATGAATAAATACTTGATAAATTAATTCTTTATTCATTGGGTTTTTTAAAACACTGTCAATCCTCAGTTACTGGAAAGTGAATGTGATTCTAACTGAAATGCAAAATTTTAGGTGTTTCTCCCCTTAGCTAATGAAGAAAGTGATGTTTCTCTAATGGTTTGTCTGTCAGGATGCCAAGTACCTGTTCCGTTTGTACATGGCCCTGAAGCGATACCGAGAAGCAGCCCGGACTGCCATTATAATTGCCAGAGAAGAGCAGTGTGCAGGTCGGTCCCTAATATGCATGTTTTTCTCCCCAGACAAGAAGTAGACTCAAGCTCCCAAACCCTTCTCTGCCCACGGAAGAGTAGCTATTTCTAATCTAGGCTTGCTTTCAACCCAGAAGACTAGGGGCATGACCCTTTCTAGGTTTCAGAGAAGTGAAATAATTCACCATCACAGGGGGATAGAGATTAGCTCCCCTCAGGCCTTCTCTTGTTAGGTGCTGTTTCCTCTACTCCTTCCCAGCCTCGCAGTTTCTGTCTCCTGGACAATGCCTTCTCCACCTCCCCAGCCCACAGCCCCTCCCTACACTCTCACAACACTTTCTTTCCATTCCATGTATTTGGCCTTAACAGTGGAAAAGATATTAGAAGATGGAAGATGATGTGGTATTATTATTGGCCTAGTGCTTTATAATATGCAGGAACTAGATATAGAATCTCCAGAATGGTTCTGTTCACTTATCTGCTCTGTAAATATTTATTGAATAAGTCATAGCATTAGTCTGATACCTTCATTAATTTTTGCAAGCTGATTCTTTTAAATGTTCATAAATATGGAACATAGTTTTAGAAAATATAGAATTAAATAAGTCATTCTTTATTCAGCTTATGTTTATCTGTGTCTGTCAGATACATGCTAGGAGCTCAGGATTCAGAGACTTGAGCCAAAGTTCTACCCTCAAGGATTCATGATTTGATGGAAATAAAGTAAATTCAGAATTGTTATACAGGGTGATAAGTGCCAGAAAAGAAAGAGAAATACATTAAAAGGGCACCAGGAAAGGGGATCCGCCTCATCCTGAGGGTTAGGGGTTGGGGAAGTTGGAGGATGGAGATGAGAGGAGACAATGAAAGCTTCAGCTGAGTGTTGAAAGGATGAGATAGCAGGAGATGAAGGAGAAAGGGGTGTGCAGGGGAGAGTAACAGCGCGTGAGGAGGAGCGAGGGCGCTGAGGCACTCGCCATGACTGAGTCGGGGGAGGGGGTGGCAGGCAAAGATAAGGTTGGACAGGTAGGCAGAGGCGGATTCTGAAGGACTCAAGTGCTCTGCTCAGGAATTTGCACTTGATCCCTAAGGCCTGGGGAGGGTTTTATCATAGGAGTGTGACCTTGAGGTTTTGGGGTGTGGGGTGAGGCTTGAGGTTTTTACAAGAACACTCTGACATCAGAATGGAGGCAGATGAAGCTCAGAAGAAACACTGATTAGTACACTACTGCAGAGAGAGATGATGAGAAGCATTGGCAGTGGGCCTGGAGAGAGGCTGAATTTGGGAGCCTTAAGAAGGTAGACTCAGACCTCGATGACCCGTTGGACTTTGGGGCCAGGTGGATGCCCCGAGGAAGAGTGAGACCTCTAGGATGATGCCCCCCTTTTCTTCCTGAGGGACTGGCTGGATGTTAGTACCATAAATTATAATAGGAATAACAACTAAGTTACTTTTTGTAAGAAATTATTAAGATATTGCTAATAACATGATTAACAAAAGCCATTTGTAAAACGAAGGCCATAGAAGGTCCTCAGAATTCATCCTTTGCAATAATGTCATTTTACTACCTTTTTCCAAGGAAACTATCGGAATGCACATGACGTTCTCTTCAGTATGTATGCAGAGCTTAAATCCCAGAAGATCAAAATTCCTGCTGAGATGGCCACCAACCTCATGATTCTGCACAGTTATATACTAGTGAAGGTGAGGCTCTTGGAGTGACTTGGGACATACCTGCCAGGTGTGTTTGTCACCCATAGGGATCTCCTCTGGGCACCTACCTCTCCATTGGATTAGAGCGATTTCCTAGATCTCTATATTGTTAAGTGAAAAAAGCAAGATACAGAATAGTTATACAATATGCTGCCTTTTGTGTACAAAAAGGCAAAAATAAGAATTAATAGATGTTCACTGCAAATAAGGTTAGAAATATACTAAAAAAAAACTAGCAAAAGTAGTTTCCTAAAGGGAATAGGCCTGGGGCAGTGGAGGCATGGCACCAAACCCCAATCAGGGTGGAAGGGAATGAGTGGGAGAGTAGGTTTCTCTGTGTATATCTTTTATGTTGTTTTGATTTTGAAGCATATAAATGTATTACCTGGGCAAAAAAAAAGATATACTTAAAACATTTTTTTAAGTATATTTATTATTTTTTATTGCGGTAACATTGGTTTATAACATTGTATAAATTCAGGTGTACATCATTATACTTCTATTTCTGCATAGATTACCAAAACATTTTTGTTTAAACAGAGCTTACTAGTTTATTAATTCTAAGATAGTGGATTTTATACAATTCCACCATTTTTAATACTATTTAGCTTTCCTCTGAATGTAAAAATAATACATATTCACTGAGAAAATTTAAACAATATAAAAAAGTATAATGAAAAAAATAATTCATCCTTTAAGTCCATCACCACGATGTAAGACTTGTGTAACACTGTGTGTATCCTCTATACTACTATAAATGCATGGGCCTACCGTTTGGTTTTTTTTTTTACCACATTAGGATTATATTTATGTCCACTTGTCTATTCTGATTTTTTATCAGTAATTTTCAGTAAAAACAAAATAGAGGATGCAGATCTCAAATACTTATATGTACAATTTACATAAATGTCATATGATGTATATATATGTATGTATGTTTATGTATACACACATATCTTTGTAAAGATACAGGCAGTCTCCAACTTACATATTTTTCCAAATTTTCATTTATATCAAAATACGTCTTCCCATATTAATGCTAATAAATTGGATTTCAGGCCAGTCCACAAGAGCTTATTTACCATTGAAGGTACCTAGGATAAGGTAGTCATGTTATGAATGATATAGATCCTAATTATGTCTATAATAGCACTGTGTCCAATAGAACCTTCTGCAGTGATAAAAGTGTTCTCTATCCGTGCTGCCCAATATGGCAGCCACTGGCCTGGCTATGGAGCACTTGAAATACAGCTAGAGCAACCAATAAACTAAATTTTTTATTTTAGATAATTTTAATTTTTAAATTTAAATAGCCACTCATGGCTAGCGTCTACCACATTAGGCCACACAGGTCTGTAACACTGATTGTAAGAGAAAATTTAGAATTCTAACTTGCAACCACCAGGAGTACATATCCCTTCCGAGCAGCAAGTGGACCCCTTCTCTCATACAGCAAGGTAAAGGGGGAGGGAAGTCTTTCTCAGCTTCAGACAGGAGTGGTGGTGCCACTGTGCTGGGGGCACAGAATCCAGCAAAATGGAGCCTTTAGGGGTGCAGAGGAGGATAGAAACAAGTTGATGGAAGATGAGAAGCAAAAGTAGGGGGTCTGTAAGAGGCCCTCCGGGACCAGGGTTTTCTACCACCATAAGCCATGGGGAAGGTTCTCGAGTCTTTTTCTTTCCCTCCGGCCCCAAGAGCTGGCCTGGTACTTTCACTGGAGCAGACATCCTCCTCCCCTCCCACTCAAGAGCGAGCACCCTGTGACTTTTCTGCTCGGCTCTAATCTTTTATGCAAGCACCAAACATTTTCAGGATTTTCTAACATTTTTAACTGCTTGGAATATCAAAAGGGAAACTATCAGACCCTATCAAGTAAGAAGAAATTGATGTAAAAATGTCACAGGCATCTTTGACCCAAAAGACTGAAGAAAGAGTCATCCACATTTCAGGGGAAATCGAGGCTCAGCTTTGACAGATGCTTCCTCCCCAGAGCTGGGACAGGGACTTTGGCTGAAGGACAGCCTGGGACCTTTGCATGTGGACGGCTGAGCTGGGCAGTCTGAGGCCCAGGCTGTCAGCGGAGGGTGAGAGAGGGTAAGCAGCCAGGGCTTCCCTTCTCCTTTTTTAGATTCAGTTAACTTTTATTATGTTGCAGTGCTCAATAAATTACACCATCATCCATTTGCTCAGACCTGATGCCTGGGAGTCACTCTATACTCACGCTTCACATTCTCACCAAATATCATCAGTTCTGACTCCTTGTCTGTCTCCTTCTCTCCATCCCCACGGCCCCACCTTTGTGGGCTACCTCCTCTTACCTGGGTGACTGCAGTGACGACGTGGCCTGGCCCTGCCAACTCCCCAGCCTCATCTCATCCCAAGTGCACCCCTCCTTGCATCGCACCCCACTTGTGCTTACCTGATCTCAGGCCCCTCCAGCCATCGCTGCCCCTTTGCCTTACCACAGGCAGTGCCCTCTTCCTTAACAAGGAATCCTCTCTCTTTCTGCCTGACTCACCTTTCAGGTCTCACAACAACTTGGTAAAGTTGGTATTATTAGTCCTCCAATAATGGCCAGTAAGAGATGGACCAGGGATTTGAACTCACGTCTAGTGGTTTAGGGCAAAGTTAAGAGCAGAGCATAGAGTAGGGGTGAGACCAGTGAGGCCAAGTGCCAGGCGGCAGCAGCTAGATGGACGGAGGAGAAATCAAGAGAAATCTCAAGTAGCATTAGCCAAGTAAGGCTGCAGGGATCTCAGGACAACCCTATTCAGGGTCACAATCAAGGAGTTGTTTATTTGGGGTAATAAAGCATGAATTAGAGTTAATCAAAGTCTCTAAGAAGAGTAAAATATGTCATGTATTTCAGATTCATGTGAAAAATGGAGATCATATGAAAGGGGCACGTATGCTTATTCGGGTGGCAAACAACATTAGCAAATTTCCGTCACGTAAGTACTGTCTGAGAAGAGCTCTAATCCACGTTTCTGCGTTAGTATAGCATTATGAGATCTCTGCTCACTAACTCAATCAGCCACTGTTCTAAGCTCTCTACGTATATTAACTCATTTAATCCTCACAACCACCCCATGAGGTGGTATAAGGCGGGTCCCCAAGACCACCCCCAGGTTTGATAATTCACTGAGAGGACTCACACAACTCAACACATAGTAGTGCTAAAGGCTAATATTTATTACAGCAAAAGGATACAAAGCAAGATTGGCAAAGGGAAAAGGAGCATGGGGCAAAGTCTGGAGGAGACCAGGCACGAGCTTCCAGAAGTCTCCTCTGGTGGAGTCACACAGGATACACTTAACTCCTCCACGAGTGAGCTGTGGGACAACACGTGTAAAGTGGTAGCTACCAGGGGCCTTGTGAGACACTCAGTGCCCAGGGTTGTACTGGGGGCTGGTCACATGGGCACCCCCTGCTTGGCATGTACCAAATTTCCAGACTCCCAGAAAGCAGGTGTTCAGCATAAACCACATTGTTTGTACAAAGGGTTAGGCACAGTGAGCCACTCTCATCAGTTCTGGAAATAGTGAGAAATCTCCCAAAATCCAAGTTCCCAGATGCCAGCCAAGGACCAGCCTTTCAATCAGGTCTTTCTAAGGATAAGAGTCTCGAGATTGCACACATGGGCACCATGATCATTTTCCCTATTTTACAGATAAGCAAACTGGAGCAAAAGAAGTGAAGTAACGCTCGCCCAGGATCACACTGTCAGCTAATAAAAGTCTGACTCCATTCTCCACCACTATACGCCATTGCCTCTGATAAAGTTTCCATTATTCTAAAAGACATGTTGTTATATCATTTTTCAGTGAATAGATTTTGTCACATTCTCTGACAGGGGTCAGCAGACTTTTTCTGTAAAGGGCCAAATATCAAATGTTTTGGGCTTTGGGGCCATATGGTCTCTGCCATTTCGCCATGAACAGTACATAAATGAATGAGCATGGCTGGATTCCAATAGAACTTTATTTTTTTGGACACTGAAATTTGAACCTCATATAATTTTCACATGTCACAAAATACTGCTATTCTTTTGATTTTTTCCAACCATTTAAAAATGTAAAACCATTCTTAGCTCATGGACCATTCAAAAACAGTCAGAAGGCCAGATGTGGCCCAGGGGTCATAATTCACCAACACTGTCCTCTAAATGTATTCCTTTTTGTTACATGAAAAAGACTTTAAAATAATTGTATACCATGCTGGCAAAGGGTGCGATAAGACAGGCGCTCTCATGACTGCTGGTGGGAATAGATATTGGTATGGCCTTTCTAGGAAGCAATTTGGCAATCTGTGCTAAGAGTATTTTTTTAAAGGTCATGTTCTTTGAGCCAGTAATTCAACTTCTAGGTATCTGTCCAGAAGAAACAATTAGATGCATGCAGAGGGGTTAGTGCATAAAGTTATTAATGTCCCTTACTCATTCCTCAGCAGTCCTGTCAAACGCAAAAATGTGTCTCAGAGGTGTGGAAGGATACAGGCAAGAGGGAGTGCAGGTCCTGGTGTTCCAACAGGATCAGGGGAAAGACGTTTTGATGAGCAGTTAGCTTGACTTCCCTGCTGTGCCCTTTCCTCATTAAACTGGTCTTATCTGGTTCTTGGCCAGAAAAAGCAAATTTAGAGAGGTGCGATCCTGTCCTCCCCCTGGACAGGGAGGGAGTCGCGCCGGCAGAGGCACTGCTCTCTGCTCTCCCGTTTGCGTTGCAGACGTTGTGCCGATCCTGACGTCCGCCGTGATCGAGTGTCACAGGGCGGGCCTGAAGAGCTCCGCTTTCAGCTTTGCAGCTCTGTTGGTGAGGCCCGAGTACCGCAGCAAGATAGACGCCAGATACAGAAAGAAGATCGAGGCGATGGTCAGGTGGGCAGTGGCAGCCATTTCTACTATCTAGCCACATTTCACAAATGTATTTTGCAAAATGTGGCTGCTAATACGCAGATTCAATAAGAAAACGGATGGGGGTAGCAATTAGGATTGCATTCAGCTACTGGCAGCGGAAAACCCAACAACGGCTTAAACAAGTCAGGATTTATTTGACTCACATACAAGGCGTCACAGTCCAGGTGGGCTGAGTCCTGATGCCACGAGGACAGACCCCTCTGTCTTCCAGCTCTGCCGTCCGGAGCATGAGTTTCCTCCTCGTGGTTGCACAGTCGTGGTCGTCTGCCACAACTCCAGACAGCACGTCCTCGTACAAGGCAGGAAGAAGGAGGGAAATTAAAAGATGAAAAGGTCTTTGCCTTTTTACGTAGGAAGGACACCATCCCCAGGACTCCCATTTACATCTCACTGGCCAGTACTCTGCCACATGGCTACTTCTAGCTGCAAAGCATATTGCTGAGTAAAACCAAAGTTCTGCTGGCAAGGAGGAAAGAAAGAATGGCTATTAGGTAGGCAGCAATGTCTGCCACCGAGGGACAAATGGTAACTATTTCTCAGTGTAAGAAACTTGATAATTACGCAGCCTATTGCCAGAAGAGTTCATTTTCAAACTCTGTGTAGTTCCGAAGGCACGTTAAGACAGGTCCTCACTTCAGAAAGCAGTCAGTGGTCTGGTTTTCTAAAGGAAAACTAGGAAAAAGTAGCACTAGTGTTTACAAAAGGAAAAACTAATTGCAATCCTGTGGTAATTCTGTACTACCACTCATCCAAAGTAGTGATGACATTTGGGGTACCTGTTAGACCCGTTATGACCAGGGGACCCAGGTGTATCTGAATCTTGACCCAGACCTCAGCCAAGGGAGACGGCTGCACCAGCAATGGCAAATGGAAGCAAATACCGTATTGTTAGCTGGGCTCATGGCAGAGAACTCTAAGCTGGATAGGGCTACATGGAACACTCTCTTTTTTTAAAGCTGATAAGCCTCAGTAGCTTCAGACCAAATCAGTCTGACCCAACATACCTGCCAGCATGGAGAATGAGGTGGGGAGAAAATGCTAGAGCACATTTACCCTGACAGCTTAGCGCCACACTGGCCTAAGTGCTAGCTTGGAAGAGATGCTAGTCATTCTCTCCCACACTAGAGTGTTCTAGAGCTATGAGGTCTAATATGGTATCTGCTGGCCACATGTAGCTATTTAAATTAAAATTGAACAAAATTTGAAATTTAGTTCCTCACAATACCCATATTTCAAGTGCTCAAAAGCTTCATGTGGCTCATGGCTACCGTACTGGAGAACAAAGAATTAGAATATTGCTATTGTCACAGAAAGTTCTGTTGGACGGCGCTGGATAGCCTTTACCAATTCAGTACACAAAAGGGAGAGACAGAGAAATAGCAAGCTCATTGGCACAGGAAGAGAGGAGACAGCAAGACCCACCCATGTTTTCTGCCATTTAATGTGCCATGAACTCCAATTCCCAAATGTGGCCCATGTAATGCTACAATCTGATCAATCCTAATTCCTCCTTTTCCTCCCTGAGCTGGAGCGTGGGCTGAGGGTGAGCCTGTAGGGTATTTCTAGTCTCAGAGTCTGACTCTGAAGAAGTAGGTGTGTTATATGTTCCTAGTTTTCCAAATATGTCTTCTCTGTACTGTCCATCTTACATGGAAAGTCAAGTGTTGTTTTTAAATGATACATGATTCTTCCTCACAGGAGACCCGATACATCCGAGACAGAAGAGGCCACAACCCCATGTCCATTCTGCGAATTTCTTCTCCCAGAGTGTGAACTCCTCTGTCCTGAATGTAAAAATAACATCCCATATTGCATTGCAACAGTAAGTTTCTTTATAATTATAAATTTTCATTTCTTTGCATATATGTATTTATAACCCATTTGAATACCTGATGTGTGTCAACGTTTTCTTCACTTCTGAAATTGTCTTATCCCTCAAATTCCCTGCAACATATAGCATATAATTTCACGGTCAATAAAGTTGCAAGTTATATTAAAAACATATAATAATCCAAGTGAATACTAAGAAGGCACCACGGGGCAGTATAGCACACACTTGGGGATCAGACAGTCCTGGGCTTAAATCCTTTTCCTGCCACTTACTGGCTATATAACCTGGTGCAATTTGCTTTACCTTGCTCGGTCCATCCATAACAATCCCTGTCTATTGAGACAAACTGCAGGTTGATGAGAGAATGTGTATGAAGCCTTAGTACAACACCTGGCATGCTGTAGCACTTAATAAGTGCTGATTTTTATTATTAATTTTAATATTAAGACCTATTATTAAAAAACTTTAAAATATCAGATTATTTGTTCATCATTAGACTAATATAAGCTTTATTTTAAAGGGAAATAAATTTAGGTACATAATGATTTCACAAAATTAAAGGCTATTCTTTTATATATGAATCTGATAAATAAAATCTGGCTTTAGGGCTGGCCTGGTGGCACAAGCGGTTAAGTGCGCCTGCTCCGCTGCGGCGGCCCGGGGTTCGCCGGTTCAGATCCCAGGCGCGCACCAACACGCTGCTTCAAAAGCCATGCTGTGGCGGCGTCCCATATAAAGTGGAGGAAGATGGGCATGGATGTTAGCCCAGGGCCAGTCTTCCTCACAAAAAAAAAAAAAAATCTGGCTTTAGTCCTTTTGATGCTATCTCTTTCTAGTTAATTACCCACCTTTGTGAACTATCAATAATTTCATAATTTGGAGGTCTGGCTTTTAACTGTAATCCAATTATTATAATTGAATAATTGTGGGAGTTTTTAAAATAAAGATGAATCTTACTCTTAAATATACTGTTTCTAGGGTCGACATATGTTGAAGGATGATTGGACGGTGTGTCCACATTGCGACTTCCCTGCTCTATACTCAGAATTTAAGATGTAAGTATGCATCGATTCACTAGGTCACACAAATTTATCCAAAAATAGACCTTTCATTCAGCCACTCTTTTATTCTGAAATCTCCTTTTTGTTCATATGCCTAAAGATTTCTAAAGACTCAAATTGTCTTCTTGGAAGAACCTTTTATGACCTTTGAGAACATTATCCTTAAAGGGGATCTTGCATGAGACTCAATATTCCTAATTCTTAAATTGCATGGTGAACATGATTTAAGAGGTGTAGATAGGAATGTTTTTCACATTAGAATAGTCCAAAGGTAAAGGAATATTATATATTTAATCTACTCTGTCTTCCCTTCCCCAAACAGCATGTTAAACACTGAAAGCACGTGTCCTATGTGTTCAGAAAGATTAAACTTTGCTCAACTGAAAAAAATCTCGGACTGTACCCAGTACCTGCGAACAGAGGTGGAGCAGTGAGTGGCATGAGCCGGTAAGTGCCAGACCATCCACTCACCTTCCAGGGCACGAGAGTCCACAGAGGACACACAGCTTTACAGTCTGTATTCACACTGGCTCCTTTATTTGCATTACATAACTTGTCAGATTTGAGCAATTTAACAACAAACCTTTGATATATTTTTTTTTTAATGCTAAAATGCAAGTTGTACAGTCTCCATAGTGACAAAGATTATTTGGCCAAGCAGCATTGTGGATTCCAACTAAAATGTATTTTATCAAATCACATGGGCTTCTTTTTAATCAGTCTATTAAAACTAGAGCCAGCTAATAACAATGGAGTTAAGTTCTATAATTCAGGAGAATATATTGTAAAATATTTTGGCTTCCAGAGATTTGAAAAATCCCCATTTCTTTTCCTTTCCAATTCTCATTTTTGTCACGTGAAAGCTGCACATACCCCTTCCACGATCGTTCCATTGGCAAGAACTTACTCATATGGCCACATGTACTGCAAAGGGAGGCAGGGAAATGTAGTATCTAGTTGGGAAGCCAAAACCTCTGCCAAAACTCAGGAGATTCTTTAACTAAAGGAAAAAGTGAGATTAGTCCCTGACACATCTCAAACTTACCCTGTTAAAACAGAACTCTAGGTTTTTCCCACACCACCTGCTCTCTCTGTCTTCCCTCTCTCAGTAAATAGCAGCTCCAGCCAACCAGTCAGTCAGGATGGAAACTTAGGCATTATTTTTGATTCATCTTATTGTCACCCCCATCACCCAGTCTGTGGGAAAGTCCTCTCAGTCTACCTCCAGTGTATCTTGTTCCCTTCCAAAACCTTCCGGGGGCTTTTTATTGCACCTACAAAAACAAAGAGCCAGCAAGACCCTATAGGAGCTGGCCCCAGCCGCCTCTGCTCACTATGCTGCACCTCTACTGGCCTGTCTGCCATTCCTCTGACACTCCAAACTGCTTTCTCCATGGCACCTGCACTAACTTACATTCCCACCAGCAACATATGAGGGTTCCAGTTTCCCCACATCCTTGCCAACACTTGTTATTGTCTGCCTTTTTGATTACAGTCATCCTAGTAGGTGAGAAGTGGTATCACACTGTGGTTTTGACTTGCATTTCCCTAATGACTTACGATGTTGAGCATCTTTTCATATGTTTATTGATCATTTGTCGCATATCTTCTTTGGAGAACTGTCTGTTGAGTCCTTTGCCCATTTTGTAACCGGTAATCTGTCTTTTTATTGTTGAGTTATAAGAATTCATTAATATTCTAGATACAAGTCCTTTATCAGATATATGATTTGCTATAAATACCTTCTATTCTGTGGAAGTATTTTTTCACTTTCTCAATAGTATCCTTTGATATACAAAAGTTTTTATTTTGATGCAGTCCAATTTATTTTTTTTTCCTGTGGTTGCTTATGCTTTTGGTATCATATCTAAGAAACCATTGCCTAATCCAAGGTCACAAAAATTTATACCTATGTTTCCTTCTAAGAGTTTTGTAGTTGTTGCTCTTATAGTTACATCTTTGATCCATTTAACTTTCGTGTGAGGTAGGGATCCAATTTCCTTCTTTTGCATGTGGATATCTAGATGTCCCAGCACCATCTGTTGACACAACTGTTCTTTCCTCTCATTGTTACTGGGTGGTTGTCTTTTTATTATTGATTTGTAAAAGTTCTTTATTTATATATTCTAGATACAAGTTTCTGTCAGATATATTTTGCAAATATTTTCTCCCACTCTGTGGCTTCTTAATTCTTAAAGGTGTCTTTTGATGAGCAGATTTTGATTTTGATGAATTATAATTTATCAATTTTTAAATTTTATAGTTATTACTTTCTGTGTCCTGTCTAAAAAAAATATTGCTGGGGCCGGCCTGGTGGCATAGTGATTAAGTTCACACACTCCACTTCAGCAGCCTGGGGTTCATGTGTGTGGACCTAGGCACCGCACATCAAGCTACGCTGTTGCGGCATCCCACATACAAAATTGAGGAAGATTGTCACAGATGTGAGCTCGGGGCCAGTCTTCCTCACCAAAAGAAATATTGCTTACTCACAAGTCAGGAGCATATTCTCCTACGTTTTCTTCTGGAAGCTCTAGGTCCTTAATCCATCTTGAAATTATTTTTTATAGTGTGAGGTCAGGATTGAGATTTTTTTCCCCTTAAGTGGATATCCAGTCTTTCAACACCATGTATTGAAAAGTCTTTCCTGTTTCCATTGAACTGCTTGGGTGCCTTTGTTGAAAAGCAGTTGGGTTTTATGTATGGGTCTATTTCTGGACCATCTCTTCTTTTCCAGTGATGTATTTGTCCTCTGTTTTAATACTACACTTCTTGATTACTGTGACTTTGTAGTATATCGTAAAGTCAGGTACGTGGCTCCTCCAATTTTGTCATTTCTCCAAAATTGTTTTGGCTACTCTTAATCCTTTCCATCTCTCTATGAAATTTTAGAATCAGCTTGTCAAATTCTATTTTAAAAGCTTACTGAAATTATAATTGATTTGTTTTGTTTTCTGATGCTGCATATTATCACAAATTTAGCATCTTAAAACAATACACCTTTATTATATCAATTTTTTATTGAGATAAAATTGACATATAACATTGTATTAGTTTTACATGTACAACATAATGATTTGTGATGTATGTATATATTGCAAAATGATTACCACCATAAGTTAACATCCATCACCACACATCATTATAATTCTTTTTTTTTTTTTTTTTTTTTTATTTTTCCCCTAAAGCCCCAGGCGATAGTTGTAAGTCATAGTTGCACATTCTTCTAGTTGCTGTATGTGGGACGCGGCCTCAGCATGGCCGGAGAAGCAGTGCGTCTGTGCGCGCCCGGGATCCGAACCCGGGCCGCCTGCATCGGAGCGCACGCACTTAACCGCTAAGCCACAGGGCTGGCCCATTATAATTCTTTTTTAATAAGAACTTGTAAGATCTAGTGTCTTGGCAACTTTCAAATATGCAATACAGTATTGTTAACTGTAGTCACCATGCTGTACATTACATCCCCAGTACTTATTTATAACTGCAAGGTTATACCTTTTGACTACCTTCACCCGTTCTGCCCACCCCCACCCCAAGCCTCTGGCAACCACCAAATTTCTCTGTATCTATGAGTTCGGGTTTTTTTTAGATTCCACATATAAGCAAGATAATACAGTATTTGTCTTTCTGACTGACTTCACTTGGTATAATGCCCTCAAGGTCCATCTGTTTTGTCACCAGTCACAGGATTTCCTTCTTTTTTATGGCTGAATAATATTCCATTGTGTATATGTATGTGTGTGTGTGTGTGTGTGTGTGTGTGTGTGTGTGTGTGCGCGCGCCACATTTTCTTTATCCAGTGTCATTTTTTTTAGCCAGTGTCAATGGACACTTAGATTGTTTCCATATGTTAGCTATTGTAAATAATGCTGCAGTGAACACTGGGGTACAGATATCTTTTCAAGATAGTAATTTCATTTCCTTTAGATAAATACCCATAAGTATAATTGCTGGATCATATGGTACTTCTATTTTTAATTTTTTGAGGAACCTCCATACTGTTTTCCATAGTGGCTGCACCAGTTCACATTCCCACCACCAGTGCACAAGGGTTCCCTTTTCTCCACAGCCTCGCCAACACTTGTTATATTTTGTCTTTTTTGATAATAGCCATTCTCACAGATGTGAGGTGAGCTCACTGTGGTTTTGATTTGCATTTCCCTGATGATTAATGATGTTGAGCATCTTGTCATTTACCTGTTGGCCATCCGTATGTCTTCTTTGGAAAATGTCTATTCAGATCTTCTGCCCATTTTTTAATTGGATTGTTTGTTTTTTGGCTATTGAGTTGTGGAAGTTCTTTATATATTTTGGATATTGGCCCCTGATCAGATATATGATTTGCAGGGATTTTCTCCCATTCAGTAGGTTGCCTTTTCATTTTGTTGATGGTTTCCTTTGCTGCGCAGAAGCTTTTTAGTTTGATGTAGTCCCACTTGTTTATTTTTACATTGTTGCTTTTGCTTTTGATGTGAGATACAAAAAATCATTGCCAAGACCTATGCCAAGGAGCTTACACCCCTGTGTTTTCTTCTAGGAGTTTCATGGTTTCAGGTCTTACATTCAAGTCTTTAATCAATTTTGAGTTAATTTTTGGGTATGGTGTAAGATAGTGGTTCAGTTTCATTCTTTTGCATGTGACTGTCGTTTTCCCAACACCACTTATTGAAGAGACTTTCCTTTCCCCATTGTACATCTTGGCTCTTTTGACATAAATTGACTATATATGTGTGGGTTTATTTCTAGGCTCTATTCTATTCCATTGATCTGTGTGCCTGTTTTTATGCCAATACCATACTGTTTTAATTACGATAGCTTTGTAATATAGTCGGAAATCAGGGAGCGTGATGTTGCCAGCTTTGTTTTCTTTCTCAAGATTGCTTTGGCTATTTGGGGTTTTTTGTGGTTCCATACAAATTTTAGGATTATTTGTTCTACTTCTGTGAAAAATGCCATTGGAATTTTGATAGGGATTGCACTGAATCTGTAGATTGCTTTGGGTAGTATGAAGATTTTAACAATATTGATTCTTCCAATCCATGAGCACAAAATATCTTTCCATTTATTTCTGTCGTCTTCAATTTCTTTTCATTAAGGTCTTGTAGTTTTCAGTTTCAGTATATTCAGTAAAGAGGGTATTTCACCTCTTTGGTTAAATTTATTCCAAGGTATTTTATTCTTTTTGATGCAATTGTAAATGGGATTGTTGTCTTAATTTCTCTTTCTGATAGTTTATTAGTGTATAGAAATGCAACAGATTTTTGTGTATTGATTTTGTATCCTGCATCTTTACTAAATTCATTTATTAGTTCTAATAGTTTTTTGATAGAGTCTTTAAGGTTTTCTATATATAATATCATGTCATCTGCAAATAGTGACAGTTTCACTTCTTCCTTTCCAATTTGGATGCCTTCTATTTCTTTTTCTTGCCTAATTGCTCTGGGTAG